GGGGCAGTTTCCCAACCGGGGTGGATATCCGGACATTGCTGGAAAAATTCTCCCAAATCGGTATTGTGAAATTAAATATAATGACACGATTAAGTTTTTTCTGGGCTTCAAGGCGTCACCTTGCTCACGACATGCCACGAAGCGGCGAGACGAGCGGAGCGACTCTACGTTTTGCGCGAAGCGCGTGCCAGGCAGCGGCAGAGTCGAGCGCAGCGAGTATGCGTTTGAAGGGGTTATATGTATTGCACCGATGGGCGTAGCAAGTTAGCTTTCGTAGGCTTTGCGGCATCACCACCAGTTAGTCACTATGTCAATGACTCATCGCGCCTCGAAGCGCCAAGCGCGTGCTGCACTGTGACAGTTCCGGAGGGTTAATTGTAGTACACGGTCTGCATTATGCGTTGGTTTGCTGGGTGCACTGGCTGGCGCATTGGCGGGACGCTCTGGACGACGGTTTCTTACTGTTCTTGATAACTGGACAGGGCCGGATAAGGTTATCGGTATCCAGCTTCATATGACCGACCGTGTGCAAGAAATGGGTGTGATTGGTTAATACGTGGATGTGTGATGCTACCATTGGGCGATGAATGGTAACCGGCTGACTGGCTGAGCAGAGCGCTGGCGGCTTTTTTCGGAATTCGCCTTCCCCTACACAAAACTAGATGTACGCAGGAAGCCCCGTACAACTGATCGCCGTTTGGTGTTGCCGTTTTATCTTTCTCTGTAGCTTGCATGTATATCAGTTGTATTTGCTCGCAGGTAGGTTCCACTGATGAGTGGTGCATCGCGCACACTGCTTTTGGTTCACAGTCTTTATTTGTAACCTGCCAGTCGTTGTTCGTGTTCGTTCTGTGCGAAGACACCATCGCATTATGTCTAATTCCTCGCAGTGTCCACTTTTGCATGGCTGTCTTCTACTGCACCCTTTTTTTACACAGTTAGCGATATCCACGCAACGCACTGCGGGTTTGCAACGCACGAAAGCATCGTAAAGCATCACCTTTTGCATCTATCTGGACTTTGCCTTAACATATTGTTAAGTAAGTAGGTCGACCTTAGACGAATCAAAAGCGCATCGCATTGACAACATCGGACATTTCTAACCACGATGGACCTAAATATGATTTGTGGTAAGCAATTCTTGACACGCTACTTATCAAAGGAAGCGACCAGCACGACTAAGCTGTTTAAGATCGCTTGCAATTGACTCTGCTACCCGGGTTTGCGCTGGACGCGAACGAGTTAGCAAAACACAGAACAAACAGAAAGACCTTCTGCCTGACACTACAACGTCGTAACAAGCACGAGCATACTATCAGGCAACTACTTCGCCAAAGAAGATTGCGCTCACGAAAGAGTGTGGCCGTAAGGCCACAGGGCTCACCCTAGTAAAGTTATACAGCAAAAAAGATCTGAACAGAGTGTCAGTATGCTAGCTCTCAGTTTACCGGATTGAGATCGTTTGTCCAGAAACGCTCGTCTAGCCATTACGAAATTGAACTGCCGTCAACGTTCCTAGAGAGCCTGCACTGATGCGCCGACTGGTCCATAACGCAGACCAATGTCTCGCGCACTGCGTGCGTGCACTTGCTCCGCTCGAAGAGCCGCTTTCCGGCTGCGTCGGCTCAAGCAAGCTGCCTTCGAGCAGGGTGTACCTATATTTCGCTATTTCCTGTCACACTATCTGGTCATCGCTGGTAGCGATTTTCACGAAACGCACAACAATTACAGAACACTATCTCTTTCGCATGCCCCTTAGCATTATTGTTAACGTCATCCCCCATGCCACAAATTTTCCACGCGGAATTCTGCTTCGTAATACGTTTGTGAGCCACAAGTCAAGTCGTTGCCATACGACCACGTGGCAGAAGCATGAGTGGCTGGCTGTAAGGCCATTATGATCACCCTAGTATCTCTGGAGCGACCACAAATGTTGCAATGTCCGTTACCGAGCACTCCAAAACCATCAACTTGGGGGCCATGCAGATACATGTAAGCCGTTCTGTTCGTGGCGGCGCTCAACGGTCGAGTTCGCCTTGCCTCCGGTCGGTCTGAGCCTGGTGTCTCCGAGAAGGGTGCACATACGATACCTCAAGATAAAAACAAAATAGGTACACCCTCCTCGGACCACAAAGCTCGGACCGACTGGAGGCGAAGCCTGCGCGGCCGCGAAGCGGCCTTACGAGTGAGTGTACGCTGTGCACGATGCATTAGCAGTAGTCACAGTCGTGTGAATTCCGTAGGATAGTTGTGGGCAGTCTTCCTATCGTGGTGAATATCTGGACGCTGCCAGATCAATGGTCCCAAATTGGTTAAGTAAAAGCAAGCGCTGCGGCAAAGATGAGTGCAGCGCTAATTCGTTAGTTCCGGTGCGTACATCGGCTCTCGATGACGACCAGCGAGCGTGAGCGGAATGATGACATGCAGCGACAATATAGCGCATGGAAGCGTGACGCACAAGAGCAAGCGCTTGCATACAAGTTGAAGCAGAAAAAGGCGGCTGCTATTGCCGTCAAGAAGGCGAGACTCGAGCGTACGCGCCTAGGGAAAGCACTAGAAGGCTCTTTACATGCGCTTTATGGGGCACGTCACCTAAAAACCGACAAACAGCCATATTCTGACCAAGAAATCTCGAGCTATTTTTTCGAATATCCGACTATTTTTGTTTCATTTCGGCATCTTTTTCTTGTAAAATCGAGTTGGGGCGCTGTGACTTTTGTACTTCTTGTTGGCATACCTGTACTTCGTCAGCGCGTAGTCGCAACCCAAATGGTACGATGCGATGAAAGGTCCGCATCAACTAAAATTCTCGCGATTCGACGCCAACGGGCACGCTCTTTGGTACGCAAGTCTTGAGTCCTTTAAACGAGTAGTTGCAGTTGGCCCGATCGTAGCGCTTGGCTGGCCCCCAGTAGGCATCGATGGGATTCAACTCGAAATGAAACTTGGGCACGAACAAGCAGTGGTTCCATGCGCCAGAGATCGTCTCTTGCACGGGCAATACCTGAAAGCGGAAGTCGGGTTGCTTCCCGGTCGACTTCAAATTTTGTCGGTCTTTAGGTGACGTGCTCCATATGTTGCCAGCGCATGCCTGTTGGCTCCGCCCAACACCACAACCAGGCCGCCCGTACAACGTTGCGTGAAGGAGGTCTTTCCCGCGCCAGTCGATTGTGCCGCCTCGATCGCAAAGCCACGCCCATCTGTACCGAGACGAGTCGACGTGCTACGCGATGCTACCGGCCGCACGACAAGCCACCAGCCGCCCTCTGGATTTCGAAGCTTCCCGTTGCACTCAAAGGTCGACGCGAAGCCTCAGTAGTTCCGCGAATGCAAGATACAGCTGTTGCCGTCGGCGTCTTGTCAATACCCGCAGTGCACACGCCACCTCCGCGCCCAAACCCACGCAAGCGCGTCGACACGACTACCCTGGCATGCGCCCTGCCAAAAGGCCCCAACAAGTCGAGCAGGTCGAATCGGAACATGTGCCCGAGCAGGAGATGCCAAGTGGAATCGACTCAGATCCGGACTTTAAGCTTTGGTGCCCCTGTCTTGCGACGTGTCACCGCTCGACAGGACGCAACTATGAGCCTGTGCTTGCAACCGCTACGTACGGTGACGATAGCGAGTTCAACGAGGACGCCAAAACCAACGATGAAGTTGAGATCGACTCCGAGGACGACGGAAGCGCCGAGAACGAGCTGGCTTTAATGATAAATTAAGCGGACTTTTCATCGGTGACGACGAGGAGGACATCACCGATGTGCGCACTACACGCTGTCCACGAATCGCATGCTGCTCCATCAACGACCTTCTCGAGGTCGACGCTCCCAACCACTAGGCAAAGTCAGCCTCATGCCGTCCAAGTTGTACAAGCTTCACACTCGCTGCTACAACAACGGCAAGATTGGCGACGAGCACAAGTGCTCACCGGATCGTCGCCAGCCGCCAGCCGCCAGCAATCTATCATCTATCAAACGTGTTCGCGTTGAAATCAAGTTAGCAGAAACTAGCTCAAAGACTTCGTATCCGTAGTGCTACGCCTGAATGCACCAGCACTTGGTCGTTCGGAGTGAGCTGCGCACGGAGAGATCCATCCAGCCTCCAGCAAGATAGAAAAATCATTCTCCTTGCTGCAGCAACAACGCCGACAGAGTGTACCATCTCCAATAACTTACAACGAGAACTATGCTCACCATTAATGGGGCTTTGTACCACATCTTTCGCCGTCTGGACCCGACGGATGCAGAACGAAACCGCGGCTGCCTCATCGCTGCGCGGCAGATCAATTTCAAGAGCGGGTGCTGCTCACACTCAGGACGCGCGTGCAGCAACCGAATGATCCCGCTACCCAGGCACTTTCGTTGCTCCAATGCCTACTGCATACGCACAATGAGTGTGACCGTAGGTCCACAGGGCATACACCCTAGTTCTGTGACAAACACATACTATTGGGTTTTATGCACGCTAAAAATGCAAGCCTAATTGAGCTACGGCGATAACGGAGTGGTTGAATGTGTGGCATGTGCTTTCAAGTACTGATATGGCGAATGTCTGTCATGGCGAGCGGATTCGCAGCCGGAACCCGAGTTGAGGTCGCCGACCATCTGCGGCTCGTTAAGAAATAAGGGGCTAATTCCTAGGGCCACTTGTTCGTCTGTCGCAGCCGGTTGTTCAGCTGCGCCTCACAGATACACAGATACTTTACGCACTACGTACACATTTACGGACGATCCGTAGTCTTAAAAAGTTGGGCGTTGAGGGGTTAAAGAATAGGAGATAGAGACTGCGCTCATCAAAACCGAAAAGCGGCGCGCATTTCAGGCAGGACCGTGTACACGCACCGTTTGTCAGACTATGCTGTCGGTCTGCTGAACACCCATGCGCCGGCGGGTGCGCTGCGTACACCCACGTCATGCGTACTGCAGACGCGAAGTCGCTTCGCTCGTAGGGGCCGCTCCCCGGTCGAGTATGCTTCGCCACCGGGCGGTCCGACGGTGCCACCCGAGGAAGGTGATATAATTGCTTTAAAAAAAGGAGATATCAATGCCACTATTTGAATACTTCTTCCTTAGAGAATGGCCAATCTGGCAAGCTCGAGGGAGCTGACCAGTCCAACATCAGCGTGAAACGAGGGTCGAATGAATTCAGTCATGGGAGGCGTGGCTACATAACCATTGACAAACGCTTCAAACTAGACGCAAACAATAGTGAGTGAACCTCCCTCTGTGCTATGTGCAAACCTTGGCATGGATCTTCTCGAAGAGGCCTGCACGCTTGGAGATGCCACCCCCAATCACAATGACTTGAGGTGATACCGTCAGTGTCAAGTTGACGCACAGATGACCGAGGTAGTGAGCAACAGTGTCCCAGACCGGGTCGTCGTCATCCAAGGACTGAAGTTCTTGACGGGAAAGGCAAGCGCGGGCTGCGATTGCTCCTGATGCAGCCATACCTACGAGCATTTGAGCCTAATTCGATTTCATCCAGCACAGCATCTACCTTCAGCACAAGTGCCATGAAAAGGGCATGTGCCTTGGAATCCCGTGACCACATCTGCGTCAGCGATTGGAACGCGCATGTGCCCAGCCTCGGGGTGCAACATGCCGTGTACGGCCTTGCCGTCAACGCAGACGCCGACGCCGATGCCCGTACCGACGGTAATGTAGCACAAGCTAGAGACGTCCCCGTGACCTCCGTGAGTGGCTTCAAAGAGCGCAGGCGCATTGACATCAGTCTCGAAGCTGATGGGTACACCAGGAAAGTGCTTCTTGAATGTACCGACGACATCTACAGGATGCATATAGAGACTTTATCGAGCATGCATAATCAAGTACCAGTGTTGGCCCAATAGGGCTTCGGCGTCGTTGTGATAAAGCCGTACGTGGCGCTCGCAGGGTTGAGATCCACGGGACCGAACGACGCGATACCTAGTCCCCTTATTAGATGTACGGGTGAAGCACGACCAGCGCACCAATGGCTTCAAACGATTGAGTCGCCAGCCAAGCGAACGCCTTGGCGAATGTCTCGTCTGGCGTCGTCGTGTCGATGCGCGTCCGAGCAACAATGTTGAGCGGGTTGTCGTGGGCCACGGCTAGCGCCCAAGAGGTGCCACCAAGCTCTACCTATAACGGCTGCACGTTGAGCGCAGCGGTCACCGGGCGATGCATCGTACCCCCGCGAAGCTACGCCCGGCCATCTCGTCGTCAATGCGCAAAACGGAAAATGACTTGTATCCGGATATTCCAACGTCTTAGCAGCTGCACGCGTAACCGGCAGCACAAAAGTTTGACGTTGTGCTCAGCTTTGACTGGAATAGTAGCCATGCTTGTCTGTCCTTCGTAAAGCCAACTAACGTTAGGATGAGCTGATGACGGCGCAACGACCTCAAGGACCCATGGTTTCTCTCCCATAGGATTTCTCGTACCGGTATGTACATGCCCGTTCAAAGATATGCACGTTGGGAACAGCAAATCACATTCATGGTCATCTAGCCCAAGCGCTGATGGAGCTGCGCCTTGTCATGAGCCGCAAACGCTTTGGCGAGTAAATTTGCGACAATTGTCCTGGTTTGAGCGTCGACACCCATAATCTTCATTTCACGCGAGTACGCGGGTACCGAAGAATCGCCTCGGCTTATGAGGTTCAGGCCCAAGGTTGCATACACAAGTACGTGAGGGTCCGTGAGCTTGAGATACATTTTTTCCGCCTTGGCCGACACCGTGGGGAAGCACGTGCGAAACGCCTTCTTCTTCACCTATGTGTTGCACGCGTATGAGCCAAGTCACCGCTTTGTCAGTGCCCTGCCTCATGCGGCATCGCAGTGTCGGGTGCCGACGTCCCGTGGTGCGCGTGCCGCGTTGAGGCTTCTGAAGGAGACATGCGAATAAGGTACGACCTCTCCTACACGCGTGCATGAAATACGTGTCGATGTCGGATATTTGCACCTCGACGGCGGCCTGAGTTGAGACGGATGAGGGTTGCAACCAGCCCCGTGTTGAGAGCGAATCGATCGTGCGCTCCACGTCGTCGTCAGAGGAGCAGAGATTCTCGAGCCACGCATGAAGAACAACATTCTTGACGAGTGGGCCTGTGTCTTCGGATAGCAGCCCCGCATGGACCAGTGCAAGCACGAAGCCCTCTTCGCTCGCCCAGCAAGGTTCCGGCATGGCCCTCGGAAACGTAGAATGTACGGGAGCCGTACATTGATCGCAATTCGTCCGTACGTACGTCTTTCGCATCTTGTACTTGCGCATAGGTCTTCCAAGGATCTTGAGACGTCGTCGACATGGCGTGCATTGGTGACGACGACGTTCGGGCACTGGCGTCTTCGATCTTGGCCAGCTTAGACCATGCCACATGTAGTGAGTGGCTGTCGGAAGAGAGCCTGGCTCACCACATCACATCAGTCATGTACAGGTGCGTTATGAAATCGTCGGACGTGTACGCGACTCATGTACCGTGGTAGCAATAAGGGCACGCGCGCAGTGCTCCCGGTAGCATTTGAACCCGCGTCAGCGCCAGAACCACGGATGACAGCAGTATCCCATCAATCAAGTTTGGCTCACTTTCAAGTACGTCCGTTTTTCATTCATTTTGTTAATCGCACACATCGCAGGCTGCGAGGGTTGAGCGGGAAGCACTCTTTCGACTTCATTTGACGAGTGCAAGTGAGCAAAGGTCGCATTGCGCCTCGAGGGACTCCTCAAGCGACATTTCATCCGATCTCTCTGACGACGACGATTGTACCAGCGACGAAGACGTCGCGCCGTCGCTGCCACATCTATCAACAGCAACTACAGGGACTCAAACCACCGGAGATGTGGGTCGCCAGGACGCACAAGTACAAGTCGACCGGGAGCCAACACCACCCGAGCCGCACACAACGCAATACTCGATGACGACCGCCCTACTTGGAACTCACGAGCTTCGCGTGCTTTCGGGTATGCATGTTTTCTCAAACGTCCTTTCACTACACAGGTAGATGTCGCTGGGCGAGTCCGCGTTGTCCATCGCGCGTGCAGTGAAGCAGCGGTACCTTCTAAAGTGATTGCCACTCGGGATGCCTCAGGTGAACTCTAATGCGCCATACAACAAGAGTTAAGACCTGAATTAGAGCAAATTGTTATCGAGCACCACGACCAAGGTGTCAACACAGTAACTTGTTCGAGTCCGAGTGTTGATAAGGGGACACAAATGTCGATGGAAGATATCGATCCATCGAAACCTCGACGACTTATTCCACAACCGCAAGAGGTAGGCAATGCCTTCAACAAGACCTGGACAGAAATGAACCTCAGGACTCGCCCAACTTTGAGCTGGACTTGTCGAACTTTTCCCGTTCTCATATGTAATACTAGTACAACTCTAAGCCGATTTTGATATTGGGGCGTTGAGTTTGAGGGTCGTTCGTTACGTTCTTCCAGCAACGCAACACCCGAAACCACTACCTAAACGGCGAGGGGCGAGTCGAGATGCTTGCAACACTTGTCACCGCGCTCGTGCTATTCGCGGTGGCTTTAGCCACAGCTGCGCCCGTCGATGATGCCAACAATAGGACCAAGCCCATTGACATCGGCGTCGACGTGGGTGCCTACATGTACCGATTGGCACCGTTGCCAGTTCTCGTCTACAATGCATCCGTCGACGACGCTGGGGCCGAGTTTCTTTCGCTGCGATTTACTGCTTTCAACATTCCGAGTTCCGACTACGTCGTGCTGCGCGCCCTGAACGGCTCCGTGGCACAAGCCTACTCGTACTCGATGGTCAACGTCTCGGCAGTGCCATTCTTCTCGGTCCCAATCTTTAGCAACCGCGTGCGTCTCGAAGTCTACTCAACGGGCGAGTCCAACACGTCGACTCACTGGAGCATTCGCGTCGATGCTTACCGCTACTCTGGCACTCCAGACTCACCAGAGGGAGACTGCTCTCCAACAAGTACGGCATCCCCGCCGCCTTGCAGAAACTCACCAAGAGAGCCGTTTTTCCGGGGGTCTCAGGCTGTCGCGCGGCTTTTGATCAACGATGCTGCCGGTGTGAAATGGTGCACAGGCTGGCTCGTCGGGTGCCAGAATCACGTGCTTACCAATTATCATTGCATTTCGAGTCAAGACCAAGCATCCGTGACGACGTTCGACTTCCGCGCTTATAGCCGCATGTGCGATAAGAACGCTTGCAGTACAGCCGGAGCTTGTCCGGGCACGAGTATTGTGCACGGTGGTGAGCTCGTCGCGTCGTCGCAGAGCCTTGACTATGCGCTTGTTCAGCTCAACGTCTCGATCGCCAAAGGCAACTACCTCAGGCTTCAAAACTTCACTGGCGTTGGCGGCGCGCCTATTTACATACCACAACACCCGTTTGGTCAAGGAATGCTTGTCGGAATCAAAACACCGTCGACAGGCAACGGTCAAGTACTAACAAGCTCGTATGCCAACTGCGGCATGAACAACCTCTTGGGGTACATGATTCCAACCGCGCCAGGGTCATCGGGGTCTCCAATCATTGCTTACAACAACGTTGTCGTCGGCATGCACACCTGTGGTGGTACGCATTTTGCTTTGTGCTGTGGTGCTCCAAAGATGCCTTGGTCTAGGTGCCTGTAGCAGCAGCCTCAATGGCGGGATCCCTGCGCCACTTATTGTCGCCGACTTGGTGCAACAAGAGAAGCTTCCAGCATGCGCCGTGGCTTCGACGACACCGCCAGCGAACGATCCCATTTCTGTTGCTACGTTGTTCGGAAGTTTGTTTTACCGAGCGCTTGGCGTGACGATGGACGTCTATGCATTGCAAATCGAAGCCTCCAGTCAAGTGCTGGAGCTGCGCGTGACCTCGTACCAACAAGAATTGTCGCCGCCATATGCACTGCGCGACGTACTGGGGCTTTGTGATGCATCATACTTTGACGCCGCTGTGTATCTCATTGCTCAAGATGGTGATGGGGACCTCTCCATCATTGCGTCCAACGACAACCAGTACACTGCTACGTCCGACGGCTTTGCCATGACGTCATACGATCCGTATCTCAATTTTGCCGTCAGCACCGGGACCTACGCTGTGGTCATCGGAACCTCGTCGATGACACCCCTTGATGCACTTTCTGCGGCAACTGGCGCGTTTTCATCGATTACGCCGCCACCCGTATACTCGGGCGGGACATTGCTGCAATGCGGGGCACCAAACGCAGACGTGGGAAACTACGTCCTCGATATCGCCATCACGGGCGGCAACGATTCGCTCAGCCAAGTCGCTGGTCCCAACACAAGCATCGGTAGCAGCTGTAGTGCCTTGCCGCATTCAGTACCAGCGTCGCTCACAATGTGTCCGTATCACAGCACTCTGCCGCTGTACGTGAACAGCGCCGTCTATGGCACTATGGCGACGAGCGACAATGGTACGACAGCGACAACCATCCACGTACCATTTGAGTTACTCAATGGGACGCTTCTGAGTATCGACGTGGTGTCGTACTTCGAGTGGGACAACGGCAGTCTTCTTGTCGACGGCCAATGTGATCCGGCATACGTGGACACGGTTCTGTACATCTTCCAAGACACGACTGACAACAACTTACAGCTGCTGGACAAAAGATATTTGATTCTGGCCGTTGACGACGCACCCGTCCCGGACCGCGACGCAGGTCTTGCAATCAGTAGCCGCGATCCGTATGCCAAGACATACTTGCCCAAGGGCAAGTATATTGCTGCGATTGGCCGGTATCCGCTCTCGGTGGATGATGCCCGCTTCGTCGCATTGCCGCCTCGCGCAAATTCTCAAGCAGACGAGCTTGGACCATGGATGGCAGCACGACCGTGGCTGGAAGCTACCGCTCGTATTATCTTTGCTGTCGCGATGCCCAATGCACTCGTGCCCCCAGTTTCCACTACCACCCCGCGCGACTGCTTCCACGAGTAACGTGTACAACGAAGCATTTACTTTCGAGTGCTGAACTTGGTGGTGGCAGCACTAATCTTGCGCTCGATGAGGGATACCATGGTGCTTTTCCTGCCATCAAAGGTCGAGACGGCGCTTTCTGCAGAGAAGCGTCGCCCAACCGATAAAACTCGACGTTGGGCGCTACGGGTACCGAGCGCACCTGGTCGGCCGTGCCACCAACCAGAACGTCCCCGCCAAGTGTCGTCTCGACGTGGTAGCGCCAGTCAGATACGAAAAGTCGGCCCGTTCTATCCATGTAGAGGACACACCCGAGCGACAAGCACGGCGCGTAGTTTGTAAAGAGGTTCACATTCCAGTTGCAAAGAGCCTCGAGCCAAAGCGACGCCCCATCAAGCATGACACAGGGCATCTTGCGTACACTGCAGCGTCGGAGCAAAGTCACGCCAAACGAAAGCCACTTGTCGGCAAGGTAGATATCGTACGACGTGAGGCTTCGCGCACGATGCGTTACACCAGGCGCTACAGAACTGTGTGGTGATTTGTAGCGTAGAAACGTCACAGCGAGGCACAAAGTAAGCAGAAATGCAATCGCGACGCCGCAGAAAGCGACTTGCGTCGAGTAAACGAATGAAATGACTTGATCGAGCGTCGTGTCAGCGCGCATGCCAACGTCAACGACAGACGGCGCATTGCACTGGATGAGAATGACGCCAATCAGCATCAAAACTGAGCACTCGACGATGGTCATGTGCTGGAGCACGAGCTGCCGATCGATCACGAGAAGTGCAATTTGCTTGGCAGCAATCATATACAATGTTGTGAACGGACGCATCGTCATGAGGGCGAGAACCCACGCTCTGAGATAGCTTTGCACCGAAAGACCTTGGAGCGTCAGCAGGATCGAGACAAAGCGCGGCCCGTTGCAAAAGAGAGCGAGCGCGTAGATGCAATCAAGAAAAATGGCAAGTGGCGACTCCAGCAGAAAATGCAATTGTGTGCAGATTCCTGTATATGTCGAGCGGCACACTAGAAGGCAGAGCACCCAGAGGATGAGATACGGCCAACGCACGCTCGTCTTTAGAGTGTCCGTATCAACAAGGTACACGGCGAGAGGCCCTGGTGAATACGTGCCGTCTCCGACGAGTGGACTGCTCAACACGTTCGCTGAGAGAACGCCGATCGAAGACTCTGTGGTGTTGCCAGCCCCAAGACGCAGCAGTAGGTTCTGCGAGATCACGAGATGCCTTGGACCCGAAAGCGCGATTTTGGTGAAATACATGGTTGAGGCCGTGCGGTCGTACATTCGGGCGTGCCAGCGCATATTGGAGCACGTTGCCGTCGCTGCCGGTGTTACGCACTCAACGACCCATTCTCCCAAATCGGTTGCGTTCATGACGTAAGAGGCGTACGGCGCGCTTGGTAGGATCGAAGCGTTCACCCAGCAACCTTGGTCCGCAAATCGGTTGAACGCCGCGGGGCTTCGCAGCTTCTTTAGCGACGGAAACTGGCGAAGCTGGCATTTTGTTTGAGAAGATGACGCCACAATGTCACTTGCCCCAAGACCAGACAGCCAGGATGCGTCTGGAAATACCAAATTGAAATACGTGAGGCGCTGGGGATCGGTCGAGTACGTCTTGAATACGATTTTACCAGCTTCAGCCACCTATAACGAAACACCGTGAGCTATCCATCACAATGGTGGAGTCTGCAGACAACATACCTTGGGGACAGCAGATTTTGGGAGAAGCGCGAGAATATTGTCTTCCGAGAGGAGGCCCGATGCATTCAGTCGCAACTGTGCTGCAAGGCTACTGTACGAGGCCGTTAGAAGTGTCATGTTGGCCGGAACACCCGTGAACGAAATGTACGACGTGCTAGCAACCGTAGCTGCCTGTACATCCCACCAGTCGCCGCCAAAATTGACACCACCGAGTGCAGAGGCAACATCGGGAAGCCGGCTCCAGAGTGCAGCTGTCGTCCCCCAGAAGACAGAGTACGCATTCTGACCGAGCGCCTCAATATAGAGAGGAAAGAATCCGATCTCGCCTCCGACGTCAGGTCCGAGAGTCAATCCAAAGTTGACGTTGAGTGAACCATCGGGTGTAAGCGTGTTGCCGTTGAGGTTGGCACTCGAGACGTTGAGCGATGAGAGTGATTGGAGCACAATTGAGAGGATTGTGAGCTCCTTTGGCTGCGCAAATGACAAGAGCGAGCCCATGCGCCGAAAGCCTTCGCTCACGAGCTGTACAAATGTAATCGTCAAGTACACGAGCAGAGCCAGAACAACAAAGCTGCGACGATGCAATGGTGCGGTTGAGAGCACTTTGCTCATCTCGGCAAGCATCGAGTGAGGTGAGGCATCCTTCTTGGGTCCGACAAGCATCCTGTAGAGTCAAAACTCACCGACCGACTCATGCGATCTGGACCATGGTTTCTCGGGGGTTACGACTGGAAAAAGGCGCCACCGGTTTCACAGGGTAGACCCATGGGTGGACCAATGAGGGCGACGCACTTGTCTTTTTATCCATGGGGATTTGGCAATATCTTTGTGGCGAGTAGTAGCTGGAGCAGAAGACATGTTGAGAACTTATCAACATGTCTTCTTCTACTAGTAGTAGGTACATGTACTTACCACAAAGACTGCCTGTCGGATTGCACGCGCGGTCCTGCCAATCAAATACCGTCACTTTCGACCAATCACAGACCGTGTCGCTGAATTCGAATGCTGACGCTGGAAGAAGGCGTGACGTGCCGTCCGCGATGGACGTCAGCGCCATGGAGTCTGTCGTACATCGTCGACAACGCTACAGGAATCCATTTCTGCATCGCACTCGACTTTGATGGCTCGAGCAACATTGCCCTGTCTCGATCACCCTGCCTCGAACTGCAGCTCGAGCTGGGGCCGTACGACCGAGTGCGCGTTGACGTGCGCCGCGTCGATGAGCAAGCCCGCTGCGCGATTAAGCTACGTCATGCGATTAGCAAGCTCGAAGCCAGTGACAAAAGACACGCTGTCAAGGAGCAAGAAGACAAGGCACTGGCCGCACTTCTCATGAACGTGTACGCAGCGTCGCCTGTTGATGCTAGTCAACGCCAAGGCCTGCCGTACGTCGATGCGACGTTCATGCCATCCGAAGCAAGTGTGGGCTCTGGTGGCCGAGCATTCACTTGGAAGCACGTTTCACAGCTCTACGGCCCACTGACCCCATTTACCGATCGAGACTGCGACCGTATACAGTGCCTGTCACCGGAAGCTCCGCTGACATCAACGGGGCTTGCATCGGCCCTGGCCATTTTGAGCGAACGCCAAAACATTCTTCTAAGAGCCATGAGTACGCGAGATGGTGACGATCGCTTCTCCGTGCAGCTCTATCGGCACGGCGAGCCCGTTCTTGTCGAAGTCGACGGTTTTGTTCCTTGCGTACCGGGCGGTGGCCCGGCCATTGTCAAGTGCACACATAACGCTTTGTGGCCGATCGTGCTGCAGAAAGCTTTGGCCAAGTTCTTCTCCAGCTTTAGCGCTTTGCAGGCTGCGTCCACGTCATCGGTACTGGAGGTCGTTTGCGGCCACCCCCGGTAACTTTTCCTACCCACCGAGCCAGTTTTTCTCTAAACTTTCCCGGTAGACTCGCTCTCTCGCATGAAGCCCTTTGCAACACGACAACACTTGATACGTTGCGACGTGTGCAAGCTGCGATGACAAAGCAACATCTCGTGTGCGCGAGTGTCGCTTCCGTGGATGCTGCGATCGTGTCTGTTGAGCTGTCATCTGTGAACGACCATTCGTCAAGTATTACGCTGCGGGACACCTCTCATCTCCTCGATTCGGTGTTTCCCGGAGGCCTGCGTCATGCTGCCACGCTCAGGTTGATAGTTGGGTGCAACTAATTATGACGGTAGCGATTGTCATAGGGTGCAGTTCAATGCGTTTGCCGCACGAGCTCCCACGTTGTGGTATATTCCACATGTTCCAGAAAGTGGTACGGTGTTACGGCGTCGCTTCTTCATTCCCAGCAAGACAGCCCCCGCTGCCTCGGAGGCCGTGTTCGTGCTGAGCGTTGTCGTGCCGGTCACAGCCGTCATCGCGCTGCAGTGTTTAGAGCCCCCAACGGACACCATCGGAATCGCAGTCTTGGAGGTACAAGACAATGGTCGAATTCACGAAGTTGCATCGACGTCAGCGACGCTGGATCACTCAAGTTGCAGTGTACACACCACACATACAGTATCATTCATCATTGGACGAGTTACAACGTTGTGCACGATAGATCATTGCGCAATTTTCTTCTGGGGAGTACCTCATTGCCATCAAGCCTTGGAGCCGTCGGCAGGAAGCACAGAGGGACACAGTGAGCAAGCTCGAGGGCGAGGCGGCGCTGCGGAGCTTTTCCGCATCCTGGACACGGACATGGACGACCGCCTCGGCATCGACGATTTGCGGCGCTTTCTTCACGTTCGACCTTGCTATCCTATAATTCCTTCTCGAGCGAATTGCGTAGGTCTACGAAGATGGTCTCACCTTAAGCGAAGCAGCGTTTACATCGATTGTCAACGAGTTCGAGTCCGACGCTCGCGGGCTCACGTTCCAGGGGCTATGTGAATGCTACGAGAGCTATGGCATCGGCGCGGCCGATTGCAGTCACGCCATCTTCCAGACATCGGCGCAATGTATACTGAGCCTTTATCTGTCGTGCCCAGCGCAGAACGCGACGCTCCTCCAGATTGAGTAGGCATTTGCAATACAATGTTCCGTATATGCATTTACAAGATGCTCTATATGCTGCACCGAACCTTGATGCGGATCAACGACCTTACTTGCGCACCTTCGAGTCCAAATTCATCGTCACGGGTCCATCTCCGACCTACGTCCATGCGTCATTCTACGTCGCGGGAGGAGGTGTTGGACGTACAAGTGACACTTCCATGTACGCTCCAAAGACGCCTTCTTGCACCTGCTCGGGTGCCACGTGAGCTTTCCGAACGCGCGCGACAAGGTTGTCAAAGAGCTCTTTTGCTGGCTCTGGTGCCACTATAGCAGTGCATTAGTCCATGATAGCTAGGACCGTCGAGTACTGGAGAGATGAAAGTCCGGCTTGTTGCCGTTCATGTAGCCGTGCAACGTAAACTGACTGACCATGAGAACGCCATAGTTGTTCTGAAGCACGGATGTCATCCACGCCTTTCCGTCGTCGTTGGGCCAGAGACGAGCGTTCTAACCAACGACGTAAGCGGCATGCAACGCGGTGTTTCGCACCAAGATGCGCCGGCAGCACCATTCCGCGTCGTCTTCCGTGTCGTCACGGCCGATGCCGACGAGGCATACGACACCCTTGGAGATGCTGCCCACGGTCTGCCCGTCGACCTTGACGCCACCGCTGGTCACTCGCTGGATCACGAGCTTCATGAATACTGAAGCTGCTCTTGGCGCCCTAGCTTATCCGGACGATTACGACTATCCGGACCGTACGGCTACAGGCACTTTCCACGAAAGATCGGTTGGCATTGCGCGACGCGACTGTGTCATCAGCTCAACGACAGGAAAGCACGCGCGATTGCAAGTGTTCACAGCTGAAGTGGCCACCTTTGGAAATGCTGTCAAGCAACGCACACATAAGCAGTACTAGGCATAAGAAGAGCAACAAACTTAACTATCAACTGCGGGTGGCGGTGGCGGTGAAACCATCGGTGTCGCAGACGTCATTGGCGCAACTTTTTGCTGTTTCTTTGGACGTCCAGGCTTCCTATAAGCGACAGTAGTGTGAGATCATCGGCACGTATGTATCCTCGTTGGTCGCACGGCTTGGGCGCTAGGCGCGCGCCAGATAAATACGCATCAGGGTCTTCACCCATACGCTTGAGGTGGTGCTGCAGCGTCTGGAAGGATCGCTCGAGCTCATACTGCATGTCCTTGATGATCCCGTGCTTGATCATGCTCGCGCGGTTGGCGTTGATCATGTATCCTGTCTCGGTATACAGTGTCTCGATGATCTCACGACCCGTGATTTTGGATACATCGGGCGACTGTTTACAGAGCTCCGAGTTGGCGAATATCACTTGCAGCTATCCACGTCACATAGATGAGCATGCAAAACGGTAGCCCGGGCACCTCGTCGGTCGAGTACGTTGTCAGCCGCGTGTCCTTCTTCTCGTGCACGTGCATCGCGTGGTTGTGTTCCAGTGCGCACTTGACGCGAATGCCAAAGTTGCTTTGATTCACGCTCACGAGGAACGGGCACCCAGCCTTGCTGGTGCAAACCCAGAGCCGGCGCCGCCCGCCCTTCTTCGACTTGTCAATGCCAACTTGGAAGCCGCACACCTTAGCCAATTGCCGCACCTTGATTTTTGCCTACTCTCGCGATAAACCACGGAAATCAATTCAGCGCGCGTACGTCGTCGAAGGAGGCCACCATGACGTACCGCCGATCGGCCGGGTCGCGGTTTACGAGCCCGAGGTCAGCAGCATGCGGCAAGAAGGCCTCAACGCGCGGAATTGACGCCATGAGTCCGTCAACAGACGTAACTGCCGCTGAAGAAGCCCCATCCAGAGGCGGTTCATCGTCCATGGAGGCTTGCAGAGCCTGAACCGACTCGGGCAGCGCCTCGACGGGGCCAGGCACGAGGCTTGGCGACGTCGTCTTGCGCATTTCGAGCGCCATGTGCAAAGGGAGCATCTTGTCCTTGGGAAGATGATCGTAGGGTCCCTGGTAGAGGTAGGCCGCCATCGGCCGAAGGGCGGCTGCTCGATCACTGGCGACCTCGTCTGCGGGTTCGGCAGCGGGGTGTGCTCGGGATGCCATCCTGAATTATATGCCAAGCTCCGGGACTGCTCCGGCATTTCCGACTACAGCAATCGAGTTTAGTAGGGTACCTAAAATCTCAAAAATAATATTATCGGGATTCTTGGTACACTACTAAATTCAATAAACCCCGACCAAGCCTTGTGAATAAAAATTTGATTACTTTAGTTGTACTTATTTAATTAAAAAGACTGAAATAGTCGATATATCCTGTTTAGTCGAAAAGATCTCGAGCCCGATGGCGACCTTGAAGCAGCGGCTCGACGCCCTGGCGACGGAGGAGAACGTGACGATGTCGACAATAGCCTTCCTCCTTGGGTGCTCGGAAGGGTACTTGGCGTCGTGGCTCGAAGCAACGCCTGCCGAAGACGACTGCCTTGCGCAACGGGTCGCGCATATGCTGCGGGCGAACGGTGTCATTCGGCTTCTCGAGGCCCAACCACGTGAGAATGAGCTGCGCGCCCTAGCTCCGACAGCGCTTCTCCTGCGCACAGCAACGCCTCAACTTCCACCGCAGCAGCTCGCAATGCTGCGAGCAACCGAGAGGTCACTCCCAAGGGTTCTCAACTGCGTTCAAGTGCACTCGGGGATGGACCCCTTGTCACGATACTTGCGTCATTGCCATCGACGAGCAGCGTCTTCGTTCGCTACGCCAAAGAGCCACGAACGCGTCGCGTCGCGCTACTCGATGGGGTCCCTTGTACCGATTCGCCTCACGCTCTTTTCCAAACACGGGCGATTTCAAGACGCCTTTCTGTGGGACGCTGAGCAGCGCGACTTGTCGCCAGCCAAGTTTGCCGCGGTGCTCGCAACCGAAATGCAGCTCGATGTAAACAGCGAAGTACCTCCGATGCTACATGCGTGCACTGCTTATATCATTGCAGCAGGCCATCTCAAGATCGATCACAACACAGCTCCTGCAGCACGCACCCTCGCTTGTGCCTATGAGCCGCAACCTCGAGCTTCTTTCCCGATAGCTGTCGACATTGAAATTGGCGGTCTCCGCGTAAGTGCTGTATCCCTCTCCGTGAGGTAACACGCCACGAAGGTTCAAGACGCGTTCGAGTGGGACATCGCGGCAGACGAGAACGACGCAACGGCATTTGCGAGCCAGGTATTCGGGATCCCTCATGACCGCACTACACAACAACTTAGACTTGCAAAGACATGGGTCTTCCCGCAGCTTTTCAGGGTGCTATCGCGCACACGATCTTGGAGCAAGTACTGTTCCAACGAAGCCTCGTATTCGGAGAGGCCGTGCGAAACGGCGGCTCCTGGTATTCGGGCCTCCTACCAATTGACGTCGACACCTCCATTCCGCAGCCCCCTTCTTCAATCCATCTTCAATCGCCCAAGCGCCGGCCAGAGGTATCACAAATGCGCTACTTTTCTTGTATGTAAACAGGTTTGACTAGGCACAGGTTTCGGGGCTCGATATCTTTTCGCAGCACCGCCGTAGCCACCAGAAGCGTGATCGCAGATGCTCCGCAAAGCAAATGCAAGCAGCGTGGAGAGCACTTTCCGCCACGGTGCCATTCTGATTTAGCACCATGTAGTTTCGTCACGCTGGTTTAGGAACGGGCTCGTTTTGAGGCACTAGCGGTGCGTCAGATGCAAAACAATCGTCGTGCCCACAAGCGCCAGCGCCGTGACGTGCGCATTGGGCGCTGGGAGGAGCTCGAAGTTTGGCGCAAGGGACTGTCGGTACCGGTTGGACGTCAAGTGTCGTCATCCGAGGCGCGAGCGCTCCTTCTCGATGTCATACTGTCTCTGTGTGTCAAAGGTTTGGCTCACGTGGAACCGCAGGACTACATCACGGCACGCAATCGCGTCGATGCTGCTCTTATGACAGCAGCAACAACGACGGACGTAAAGAATCGAGGTACAACATCTAGTTAGTTTTCCGTGTACACGATGATGCCAGTAATGTCTTCGACTTCTTCGGTCAAAAGCTCGACAAGTTCTTGCTGCTTCTCACGCGTGTTAAACCACTTCTTGAGGCGCGAGTCGTACTCGAAGCGCTTTGGGCCGCTCACGGGCGACGACCACCAGATCTGGCGGTTGGGACCTTGCTTGTTGAGCACCCACGTGCCATCTTCACCGAGGTTGATGGTCAAAACGCCTTGCTACAAGTAGAAAGTGTTAGACCGTCGTCGCTCTACTCGATCAAGGATTGCTAACCGAGAGCGTAATGTCGGCGTCAGGCAGAATCGCTTCGATGCCATCCATCATCTCGAGGATGTCGTTCAGCACGACGTCACTGAGCTTCATGAACTCCGACTCGGTCATGCTCGGCACGGCCGCCTCCGTGCTAAAGGCCATGGTCCGCGAGGCAATAAATGCGCGCGTCGAAGGCTTCATTGCGGGCTTGAGTTGCGGCAGCGCGCAGCCAGACGCGCGAGCTACGTGGCGATGCGCCAAGCGGACGATGGAGCGCACGCCAGCCATTTTCCAAATATGTCGCGCGATCTGTGGGCTCGGTTATCCGGATATCTAGGCCACGGGACACGCTTTCCGGACGAATGCAGCGGACAGCTCGAAGCAAGCCTTGACATGTGAGAGCATCACAAACCATGCAGAACATTGACACAAACTCTACATAAACTCGACATTAGGCTACCAGGTGACACCAGTGTATGCTGGCAGCGTTGCGTCACACTTGAGCTATGCTTCAATTTGCTTATGTAGTCCTCGTAGTAAGCTTGTTAGTTGATAATGCATGGAGCACCCAGTGTGCGTTTGGGAGTTGATACAAAGTAGTACCGTGTTTTCAATGCATTCTACTCGACTGTGTATAGATAATTCGGGAGCTTGAAGCGGGCGCCCGTGTAGTTGCCCGTAATGTCACCAAACTGATCACCGAGACACCCGATGATCTTGTACTCTTTTTGGAGCTTTGCGCGCGCTCGCTGCTTGAAGTTGGCCGTCGACATGAGGTGCTCATTAGGTTGGCGCAAAACCAATCTACGCGATATAAAACGATGTTAATCGACAGGCATTGCCCAGCCAAGCAGCGCACATATCTTCGCGATAGCCAGCAAGAAACAGCGCTCGTAGTGTCGCATCTCGGGTCCGCTCCGGTCGCTCCGACACGAAAACCACCTAGAAAACACATACCAATCCAGCACCATCATGGCCTCAAAAGTACTTCAACGCCCTTCCACTTCAAGTAGGCGTAGAACCGGAGGACCATAGGATTTGCTGGTGGTGAGCCGTGCACGAGGTACTGGAATTGGGTCATAGGAATCGCCTCAAACTTGGTCGACTTCATATAGCCGTAGCTCACGAGCGCCGTGTCGTCAATGTCGAGCACAAAGGCTACGAGCTTGCTCCAAAATATGTCGTTCTCTGCAGGTGACTACCGCAATGCATCTCAAACGGTAGAGTTTCCAGCAAATGGACGGCGCGGCTGAGGATGACACCGCAGTCACGTTCGTAGAGGGACGAGCTGGCATTCGCAGCTGCTTCGTAGTAGCTCAGGACAAAGTCGCGGGGCATGCAGAGCTTGGCGAGGTTGGTGCTCCTGGGCGCCTACGCGGCCATTTTTCACAACCTCGAACTCAATGCTCAAAACCGCACAAGTGACGCTGCCCGTGCGAGCGTGGAAACCACGGGTTTGGACAAGAGCGATAACTGTAAAGGAGCAGCTTCGAGAGCATCGAGACGGGCAATCAAGTCAGCAGAAAATGCGCCAAAAAAGTCATACCTTCCACGTCACTTGAAGGTGGAACGTACAAGCAATGTTCTTACCGGCTGGGCACTGTCCGGAGTGCCTCAACACCGACAAAGGTGTCGGGGATATCCACAATGTCCATGCTATACGGCGGTCCGTCAAACGTTGCCCGCGGCTTGCTGCGCTCTGTGGCACTGGTTGCTTGCCGCTGTACCTCTCGGTTCTCTTCGAGCTCTCTACATTCTAAAGCTTGAAGTTGAATACTCCACGGAAAAGTAGATACCGCAGAAGGGCTCCGTGAATCGGGTTGTGGGCGAGGCCAGCGATTATCGAGGCCACGGACGCGGCCGATTTGTTCAGCTTGGCCTCGGCGCGAGCCTTAAGCAAATAGGCTTCGTGAGCGCCGTGAAAGCGCTCAAGCATCGCGTTCGCCGTAGCTCGCGCGACCTTGTAGAGCAAAAACGAGCACTCTAGCTATCGGAGATGCATGAGACTGCCGTTTTACCTTGCGTATCGGGTAGACCTTGTACTTGTGAACGTACGCTTGGTACACAATGGTGTCGTGGCCAGCGTCGTCTTCGTCAATGATCTGCGTAAACAAGCGGATCGCGAGGCGCGACCGCTCCATCTCTTGTGCGCGGAGGGCATCGGCAAAGAGCGTCTCGAGTCGATCCGCTGTCGTCGGCAGAGGTTTCGGCATCTTAAATTTAGGCACACCACTAGTGTTTTTCCTCGCAGTGTTGTTGTGATGGAGTACACGCAGAGCTCGGTGCACCTCGTCGCGCAACCTCTTTTGATCCTCATGTCCTCGCGATTTGGTGCTGTAGTACGAAGGCAACGCGAGCTTCGGGCGGCTCAACGGCCACGGCGTCTACACGTTTCCGGACGGTGTGCAATTCGGCAACCATAAAGTGGTGTCTTGGCCCACGGCGCTCCGTAGGCTCTCGGTACGAAGGCGACTTCCAGAATGGCCAGTTCCACGGCCGAGGCACGCTCTTCTTTCCCCAAGGCCGCTACGACGGCACGTGGAAGGACGGCAAGGTGCGCTCGATGTTTCCAGATCTCTATCGCCCAAGACCGTGATAGAAAGTGGACGGCACCTTCACGTTTTCGGACGGCCTCGAGTACGCGACGCCGTGGAATTACAGCACCGAAGGCGATCGCCGGTACCACTGCGAAAAGGTCGCGCACGCGACGGCCCCGCATGCCAACGGCTACGGCATCAAACCTCCTGGAGAAACTGCGTATTGCACCGAGGGCGTCCAGAAGATGCTGCCGTGCGGCTATTACGATGCTGGCAACGGCTTTTACGACGAATTTACCAACACGATCGTGCCCGCGTCGCTCGACCCGGGTGACGCGCGCGATGCGACGGAAGACGAGGTAGAGTGGATCAAGACAAAGGCGGCCAAAGGCTTTGCCAAGTAACTCAGTTTTTGCGTATTGCTTGCTACGCACTACTAGTACATGTATGTACATTGGGAAGCAGCAAGTCGACGCATATCACAGCACACGAGTGGTCGCCATCGTACTACGCTCATCAAAAATGGTCTGTTCTGCCCGCCATGAACATCTCGATGCCAACGTAAGTTTGCATGCAGTGTGAAGATGCTCTTTGAGTCAAATAAGCCTAGACCATGTCCGGGTGGTAGCGGTGGGGTGCAGGCGGGGGCTCCGAAAGAGCAATCGTCGAGAACGGACCTGAGACGTAGTCGGGGCTTGTGTCGTTAAGACTGTACGGGGCAGGGGCCTTCGGTTCACTGTCGTCGTCAGCGCTTACGTTGCCCTCGAGCACCTTGATCAGTCGATCGTTCACCTGTACAGTGCAGCGGGTTAATAACAGTTGTCGCGTTATTGACTATAATACCGTGAGGCACGTTTCCAGAGTTGCCTCGTCAAGCTTGCCCGCAAGGCCGGCCTCAATGAGCGTGTTCATGCGCGGTTGGCATTGCTGCAGGAAGTCCAAAACATCTTCGGCGTCTTCACAGTTGCCGAGCGCCACAAGGTTGACGTACGTCTTGATCTTGTCCTCCACCACGACGAGGTCTTGGCGCAGCTTATCAAACTCAAGTGCAAGCGATGGCTTGGCGACTGGCGTCCTGTCGTCAACGTCGACGCTGCCGGCCGACGCACTCTGCAGCTGGAGCTGCATAAACGTATCACGAAACACAGGCTGGGACGGATACTCGGTCGACCATTCTTGCAGCATGCGCAGCGCTCGGGCACTTGCGTCGGGATACCGGCCATCACCGTCCACTAGGGCGACGATTTCTTGAAGAAAAAGTCGGTGGGCCACAAGGTTGACGAACGACGGGCAGTTCTTCATGATCGTCTCTGTCGTAAGAAGCGCCAATGAGACATGGTCTTCGCTCTCGCGGCGGCTGAGGAGGCGCTGGATCGCGCGGCTCGTTGCCTCTCCGCTACATCGATCGCTTAGCCCAGGTCGCGCAGCCGTAAACGTACTCTGCAGGGCTGGCGCCCACTACATCGCAGAGCTCTAGGATGACCCCCCAGTCCGGGTTGGTGGCGTCGCCGGCGCAGACCGTCGTCAGAAGCGCGCAGACGTCGTCGCTCGCTCGGTCGTCCATGTCCTAAAATTACCGATGCCAACGAACGTTTTAATGAACGTGTCGTGTCCCAATACAGAACCAAAGTTATCTTAAAATATTGTATTGTATGACGCGAAACCCGATCCTGGGCGGGTGATCCAAGCCAGCGCTGCTGGGAAATTCCTCATCACGCGCTACTGCGAGCCAGCAGTAGCGCATGACGAGGAATTTGGTCGGCGATGGCGTGCAGCGTGCTGTCCAGTTGATCCAACGCCCGAAGGTCAGAGCCACTGATGTTGCGAGATGAAACGGACAACCCAGCCATTTTTCGTGTTGCACGCGTCGGTCGGCCATGGAGCAGCGCAACCAACGGCTTTGCCTCGATCGCTCCAACGCCCTGGCGTTTGGCTACAATGCTGCGAAAGCAGAGGTGCTGTGGCAATCGCTTGGCATCCCGTCATCGCTCATCGACGGCCTTCACCCTGACATCCGCGCCGTCGTGCACGCCATCGCCCAGCACACGCTCGAGCTCGAAGCCCGCTGTTGTGCCAACCTCAACGAAGCACTGAGCACGCGAACGTCCGATGTTCTTGCAGTGGTAAACGAAAACCACGCAGCGCACCTTACACACGTCGGTGCGATGGAGGCGGCGCTCAAAGTCACGTCGGCGCATGTGAGCCAGCTCGATGAGCGCGTTGCGGACGCTGTGTCAGTCTCGGATCTTCGCAATGCTGTAAAAAGCATCAACGACGGCGCACAGACGCAGTGCACTGCTCTCCGGGAGGAACTCCAGCAGTGGACCACGGACCTCGTGACGCCAGCCTTTGCAACCCAGTTGCAAATGCCCGCAGTGGAGGCAAAAGTTCGATTCATGCTCGACCATGAGCGTATCGCGGTCGCGCAGACAACTGAGTTCCAGATGGAGCACTGGATGAAGCGTATTGACTCCAACACTGCGTCGTCAATCGGCGCAATCCAAGACGAAATCACCAAGTGTCGCGCCGAGGTGCGAAGTGCACGGCAGCTCGTCAAGGATCTCGAAGGCCGCGTCTTGGCGCAGACAAGACAACACGTAACGGAGCACTCGAAAGCGATCTTCAACTGGAAAGGCTCGGTTGATGCGACTTTGCGGGAGCTCCACGAGACGCTCGACAACATTATTACGGAAAAGCTACCGGGGGTGGCGCACGATATTCAGTTCGAGGGCGACCGCGTCGTGCAATTCGTCTCCAAGACGTTTCTCTCGATGGCCGACTTTGACGCGGCGATGAAGCGGGTGCAGCAGCTGACGCTCGACCTCAAAACATCCAAGAGGTCGCTCGAGGCGCAGACCACCAAGTGGTCCGTGACGTTGGATCGTGTCTCGGACGATGTCAAACTTCTTGTCAAGAAAATTGGGCTGATCCCGGACGTGATCCAAGACTTTCACGACCGCTTTGAGTGGAACGACAAGCAGTGTGTCCACCGCTGGGAGCAAAAGGTCACGGAAATGTATGCGCTCGAGGTGACCGAAAGTGCGTCGTAGGCATCTTTATGACTTGGTACACTAGAGCGATATCAAGAATCTCAAGGCAGCCATCGCGGCGAGCCGAAATCACGTCGACGCGGCCATCTCTGCACTTCACGACTCGGTGCGAGAGTCCTTTGGTGCCCAGGCTCAAACACACGACCGTGCCTTGGCAGAGTGCAAAGCTCAGCTACTTGAACTGGATCGTGGCTGGTCGAGCGCCGTGACGCAGCTTCAAACTAAACTCGCCAGCGAAACCCCAGCACCGACGGATGCCGAGCCCGCTCCTGCCTATCTGTCGTCCGAAGAGTACGAGCGCCTCCGTGTCTTGTATACAAAGCTCACGACAGACGTCACGGCACTTGGTCGGCGCTACGATGGATTTCTTGTGCAGTGGGACCGCATGCGACGAGAGTTGCCGTGGATGGAGCACCATGCAGCCCCGCATTTCGACCCGCTGAGCAACATTCACTTCGCCAAAGGACTCGAGCTTCCCCAGTTGGTCCAACCATTGGCTCAAATGTCCCTCCAAACGGAGGTTCGTCTTCTATATCCTCTGACGACAAAATCTGATGCAAGCGGCTGAATTAGACCCGCAGTAGTAGCCCCGCGCGACGACCTCCGAAAAATGCTGCTACCATGGTCCACCACGCCCACGCGGCAGCCGTCTCGTGCTTCCGAATCCTACCGCTGCGGCCAACGACACCAAGAAAGACAAGGGATGTGCGACCTGTAGGAAACAACCAACCGTACTAGTAATGCTGAAAGAAGTTCAATACCATTGCTTTTGAAAGACGACTAGAATTGTTTTGGACAAAAATGTCTTCTCGCATCTTGCCACTCGATATCTTGTCGCTGTACGAGCGAGCAAACTACATGTAGCACTCTTGTGCACGGCGAATTACTAGCCTTACTCGACATTAAACTTGATGTTGGTGAGTTTCTCGCTGATGTCCCAGAGTTGCGTCGCTACGTCGTTGTCGTGGCTGGCGGGTGTCGACTCTTCGAGAACAGGCGGGCCCCAGCGAGAGAAGGACTGAGGTCCGTAGTATTCGCCACCTTTGACACCTTTCGCGACTGCTGCGTACAGCGTTGGTAGGCAGCCAACGTGGACAGGCTGCAGTGCGACGCGAGCCACGATCGGGAACAGCCACGGCATGAGACCACCCGACCACATGTGCGGGAAGAGGTTCGTGTTGGTCCACCCTGGGTGACACGCCACCGATGTCACATGCTCAAAGCCCCTGGCACGAAGCCGCCGGTCGAGCTCGTAGCTGAACACGAGGTTGCATAGCTTGGACTGCTCGTATGCCTTCATGGGCCCGTAGGTCGGCGGTGACGGCATGAGATTGCTGAAGTCGATGGCGCCACGGCGATGCGCAAGGCTGCTCAATGTCACAATGCGCGACGACCGCGAAGCTTTGAGTACGTCAAAGAGCTGCGCCGTGAGGGCAAAGTGGCCGAGGTGGTTGACGCCGAACTGTGACTCGAAGCCCTGCGCCGTGACCGCGTACGGCACCGCCATGATTCCCGCGTTGTTCACGAGAACGTCCAAGTGAGCGTGCTTGGCCTTGAAGGCATCGGCAAAGGTCGTGACGCTCACCAAGTCGTTGAGATCCAGCGGTAGGACCTCGACGGACGCCGTTGTGACCTCGGAGAGGATGCGCTCCTTGGCGGCCGCGGCCTTTTCCGCGCTACGACATGCCAGCACGACGTGTGCCCCCTTTCTTGCGAGCTCCAAAGCCGTCTGCTCGCCGATACCAGAACTTGCCCCGGTTACAACAACGACAGAGCCGGTCAAGTCGGCCATGTCGGCCGCTGTCCACGCCATCGTCTCTCGTTTGCCTAACGCCGTGTATTGCTGTGTTATCCGGACACTTGGGAACCTCAATCCAACCGGCACCACGATTCCCGCGTTGGATTATACACCGCATGATGCACTCTACGGCCTTTCAAGATTGTACCAACCCATAAACCTGGCTCCATATAGCCTCGTTGTACTTATGTGGGGCCTAGTAAGCTTGTTTGCAGGCAGGAAGGGTTCTTATACCTGAGGGCTCGAAACATATAATTCACCGTGGTTTGAAATACGCCATTGGACCAATGCTATGGCCTTTCTTCTAGATCACGCTCTAAAGGATACTGGAGCTTTTTCATCGAAGAAAATTGATACATTTGATGCGCTTGGATCCAGACAAAGCTATCTGGGCGAGGTGCTCGATAGCAAGGAGGCCGTGATCCGAGTGGCCTCGCTCTGTTCCCTAGAGGTCCTTCCTGGCGTTTCAAAAATATATTTGGCCAATCGAAACACGCTGCCCCAACACCGCCCTATCACAGCTGCGTGCGCGTCTCGCCCACAAATTAAAATCACCACAGTATATTTTATTGAATGGTATCCAAATAGCTCGCATTCTGTATAAAAAAGCGGGTGACAATTAAAATTTGACGCACCAGAATTAAAATTATCGTTGCCAGACCACCAATCGTCAAGCCGCTAGAGCCGCCCAAGAAAGCTGTCAGTTCGGAATTTGCTGCTTCCGAGGCAAGTGCCTCGAGCGACGCCTAGAACCATCGGTAGTTTGCACATGGAAGACTGCGATGGAGCATTGCTTGTACTCCACGTATGAGTTGTCATCCGGAATCGTTTTAGTGCACTTCTGAGCCATTTGAGTATGTTTATGTTCTAGAATCGTGTTGCGATGATGCAAACAAACTTCTCTGAGGCTTGAACCAACTAGCCGTGAAGGCAAGATATACACTATCACCCATAATGTGAGCAACACACATCACTTTACGTAGCCTCTTATTGTAGGAAAAAAGGGTATGATTTTTATTTCCATTGGTCCGTGTTCTAGATCCGCGTTATCGCGATGATATTTCTTCAATGGTATGACCCTTACAACTTCACTGCATTTTATATGATATTTTGAAAATCTGCTTCCCATCACTCCACGCCGGCAGTATTTTTGATCCCGCTGAAAAGTTTGATCTTATTGTGACTGAACCAGTACTTTATACGGAAGCAATACTATTCAGCGATTCCTACGGATGCGGCCGTTGTCATGTACGGTCGTATCAACAATGTCTTGCTGACATCTTTACTAGTACCTAGTAGTCGTAGGTGTTTATACGAAAATGAGCGATGATTACAAATCTATGCACCACTCTGAATGCATATTACCCTTTGCGAGTCATGTTGAGACATACACCTGTGTTTATGAAGCTCATTAATCTGCACATTATTTACATACCACTTCTTAAAACAATGGCAATGAGGATTGTTATTTACAGACCTGTTCTGAACGACAATTATGTGGAATTATAACATGCATCACCATCTGAGCCTTTACTATATTATCTTATCTTCGAACTTGACGACGGGAGTGATGACTATTACTTTGCCCTGTGTCTTTGATCCCTTCTGCGTCTCTCGAGATGTTGTTGGAGTATGACAACACCTTCAAAGCGCTAACCCAACCTCGATTTGTTCTTATTTTCTATCTTTTAGATTGTACCCTAGAATGTACATGTTGTCCTACCTTATGAGCGAATGATTACAAATCTATGCACCACTCTGAAATTATTTATTTCTATCTTTTGGATTGTACCCTAGAATGTACATGTTGTCCTACCTTATGAGCGAATGATTACAAATCTATGCACCACTCTGAATGCATATTACCCTTTGCGAGTCATGTTGAGATACACACCTGTGTTTATGAAGCTCATAACTGTACTTTTCACGGTAGAAAACACGCTTTATACAATGAGGAAAACAATAATCTTCTTAAAATGGTCAATACAAGATTACCCTTTATAGCGAATATGTTTCGTTAACAACTACCGCTAGACATCATGACATGATGGGTCTAACCGTGCAGTATTTGATTAGACGAAATGGGAACACAGCTACGTTCTCATTGGTGAAACGCAGCAAAAGGTGTGCATTATTGTGCAACGCAAAAGTGCTCGGCTCGGCGTTGAATCGTCCGGGTATGAAAATCGAACCAACGGCCTCTTTCTTGGCAGCTCCTGTGCAGAGCGCCATTCTTTAAAAAGCCATGGCGCTGATGGACGAGGCCAAGAAGGCGCGGCAGCGTATCGCCGACCAAAAGTACCACGCACTGAACAAGGACGTTGTGGTCTTGGCCGCGATCGCTTCGTTGTTGTCGGCCTTGCAGGCCTTGTTCACTGTGAACAAGGGCAAGATTGCGGCCCAAAACAAGGCCTGCAAGGCCGACAACAAGGAAGCGATTGCTGCCAAGACCACAACGTCCTTGTTCAGTGCGTGGCACTTTTGGTCGGCGATACACTGCCGCGCCTTCTTGGCCTCGTCCATCAGCGCCATGGCTTTTTAAAGAATGGCGCTCTGCACAGGAGCTGCCAAGAAAGTGATGAGTCTAACCGTGCAGTATTTGACGAAAAGACATGAGAAACCACTCGGTTTGGGAGCAAGGATATTGTACCGTGCTCACTCGTATGCCGCTCGAGGCGCCTGATTCGCCTTGTGCCATGACTTGGCCTTCGCCTGGATGGTCTTCTTGTTCGAAGTCTTGTACCTTTTGGCCTTGGCCGCAATTGTCTGGTGCGTGGCGACTAACGCACTGAAGCACTATCGCTGAAAATTAAAATGAGCCCAACGTATGCATTCATGCTGGCTTTTATGTCCCACAAGGCTTGCTCCTCCACAGAACAAGCACAAGGACTGGAGGCATCCATCGAGCTGGGTTCAGCAAGGCGAGAGGCGGGGGACGAGGCCAGGTCCATTTTCGTCTGTAACTACAAGTGTTGTGTATTCAAAAGCTTCGTTGATCGCATCAACTTAGCTTTCACTGGCCGCCCGCGCTGTCTTCAACGACTACAAGTAGAAAAGAGGAGAGTGTTGAAAGTCCCGCGTGTCGATCGTGGAGTCGAGTAATTAGGACGTTTTTGCCCCGTTCTAAGCTTAGTAGGGCTTGAGTTTTGTCGCATTCACTGTGGATCAACGGTGCACGTGGGTGTACGTATTAATACATACTACTAGTAGAGAGACAGGTAGCGAGACAAGGTCGAGAGGAGGTATCACAGCATTCATCACATGAACAGCGCCAAAGTTCATACTAGAACTGGTAGCGAAATGTGGGTGACCTAAAGTTGTGGCGCTGAGATCTAGCGAATCTGGCCATTCGAATCCGTTTCATTCTGAACCGCGAGGGACACTTGCTTTTATGGACGAGATCAAGTACGTACCCTGCGGTCAAATTGCTGCAGTCCATCGCGATTTCACTCTCACGGATCTGAAGGGACAAGTATCGGCGCGAGTGGGAGGCTCTAGAGAAGGAGGAGACAGCGGTACGACCTGCCGACGAAGTCCAACAATCACTGTGTCGTTCTAGCTCGCTCAAGAGAAGAAGAAGCTTAGCGACGAGTGGGTCTCGATCGAGAAACAGCAGCAACATTACGAGAAGGATCGCGCTGCGTACGCGTTGGTTTTCGTGGCGTTGCTACTACGAGGCGCTAGGTTTGAGAAGCAAGTGGCCGCAAAGCTCGAATTTTTGTCTCCCGACACTGTCGTCCACTTCAACATTGGTGGCAAAGTACGCGTGCTTGTGTTATGCTAAGCATATGATATCCAGAACTATGTATTAGCTCTTCAAGTCCACGGTCAGCGTCTGGGCCCGCGATCGATTTTCAATCCTCGCGCAGCTGTGTACGACCCAGCCCAAACTCGGCACCGACGGCCGCGGCCACTACTTTTTGATCGCGACTGGCTCGTCTTCAAGTTTATTTACGCCTTCCTGCGCGACAAGACTTTGCCCGAGAGCATCGACACGCTCCGCGATCTGTATGTCCAACAGCAGCGATGGTGATGCCAGCACCATACCACTTAGGTACTACGAAGCCTCGTTCTATCGCATCACGCTCCTTCGCCACGCCATTGAGGCGTACTTAAAGAGCTACTCGAGTGTGGCGCAGGTGCACGCGGGGTACGCGACCGACCCGTCACTCGCTACTGTCCGAGAGAACGATTGGAGTGCGCATGGACGACGTGACGGCAAACAGAACGACCGACGGCACGCTGACGATGGCCATCGACACGCCGAGATTGCGCCACGTCGGGAGAAGCCTCGGCCAGGGGATGGTGGACGGCGGGAAATCATGTCGTCCTACGACGACCACGAGCGGCAGCGCGCAGCTGCTCGGCCGATGGACGCACACGGCGGCCCACGAAGTGGTAACAGTAGCCACGCGCCTCTCGCGTTGCAGTACCGCACGGCACGTCATGGGCACATGACGTACGACCCGGCGCTGGACTTTTTGCGCGACGACTGGCGAGCTCATCCCGACGACGGGCGACGTGGTTATGCCCGTTACGCTTCAGCTCACTACGACGATGTCCCTTCTGACCGCCGCGACGCAGCACCGTCGAGTCGCTATGACCACTCGCCAGAACGACACCGGCACGCGTATGACTGCGCCGAGCACTATGCGGATTGTCAACGGCCTCCCATGCAGTTACCAATGTCTCCTCCCCTCGGAGATCCCCACGGCTTTCTGTCGAGTCGACGCACGGATTCGGTTGCCCCCGTCAACTTGCGTCCATAAACCTCACAGACGAGAAAGAAGACAAACGATCTTGTATGGTTCTCGAGTTTTTGATACGTTCTACGGGGCGGCGGATGGTCCGAACCCACGTTGATGCCATCCATCGCTGCCTACAATGCAAAGTTAAGGACACCTCGGTGAGAAGAGTGGACGGGTTACGGGCGTCTGCGTGCCGGGCTGCACTGGACACTGCCTTATACTCGGCAGCTACGGTCCGAGTTCGGTCGACAAAGGTCATGCACACGTGCGGAAAGCGTGGTGACCCGAGGTCGGCCATGTCTAGCGGCGGAGGGATCTCAATCAATCGGCGACGAAGCACAGTTGCCATCGACCCCGCGGACTGGTGGCGGGAAGTGGGCGTCGAGTCAGCCGTGATGTGAAAGCCCATGCTGCCGCTTCTTTGCCGAGATTAGAGATGTGCCATCCATTGCTTGTGAAATATCGGTGCGCTTCAGATGCTGGCGCAGCCTCTCCCAGACTTGAAGCGAGTGAGGACGCGACGGGTACATGAACAGCTGTACGGAGGACGCCGACATAGAGGCGTCGAGGAGTGCACGTTTGCCAAGTTTAGAGTAGCCCGAACGATGTACAAATTGTCAATGGTATGTGTGTAGTTGTAGCGTAGTAGTATTAATAAGAACGATGCATATAGTAACATAGAGACCTGCTCTCTACTCCATGTTGCGGATCACCGTCTTCTTGCGCGTGTCAACGTACGGCACCTTGCCGGGCCGCGAGTGCTTCCGACGGTTTTCGAGCTTCTTGTTGTCGCGCTCGTTGGCTTCCTGCTTGGCCATCGACGCCTTCTTGATGGCCTTGGGCACGTGGCGGTGCTTGGCGATGCGCCGGACCTCAGTGAGGTGCTGGAATCGCTTCTTGAGCGCATCCTTGTACTCGACTTGCTTGCGCTCACGCGGCGCGAGCTTCCCGAGGTGCTTGGACGCTTCGGCCTTCCAGATGCGGATGTTCGTGTCGTCCGAGCCCGAGAGCACAAACTTGGAGTCGGCGCTGAACTTGACCGCAAAGATGCGCTGCATGCGCTTCGTGTGGTACACCTCGCGACTCTTTGCCGAGCGCACGTTGAAGATGCGGATCGTGCGATCGTACGAACCGCTGACAAACTCGCGGCCCGTCGGCGAGTACGACACGTCCATGCTACAAGTGGACAGTGAGATCCTCGGCAACCCGCTTTGGACTACGTACACAGCCGACACGTGGTCCTTGTGTACCATGAGCGCGCGATCCAGGTTGCGCATGTCAAACGTGTACAAGTTGTGGTCCTCGTTGGCCTGTGCCGTGGAAATGAGGTCACCGAAACGTAGCAAATAGGGTAATCGTACGACAGTAAAGTGGTACGGTTCGCGAGGGTTCCACGCGAGCGCGTTGGAGCGCATCTCGAGCACAACCTTGCGCATCGAGGTCGCCACGCGTGTGTCGTAGAGGTTGATGGCGCGGTCCGAGCCCGTCGACGCCAGCAGACTCGGCTATCACCCAGTCATCAGTCCTGAACGCTATCCGACGTCAGGCATTCATCAATTGTACCTCGGCCGGGTTGAACTTGACAGACGTGATCGAGTCGGCGCCCCACGAGAATTCGTGCAGCGGATCCGACCGCTGGTGGTCCCATACCTGGACGACGGAGCTGCATGTCGCGAATGTGCTGTTGCTCCAATGGTGGTCGATGCCCATGAAGGGCTCCTTGCCGTGGAAGGTCTGCAGCGCCTCGGGCTGCTCGTCGTCGCCGATCGCGATCGCGAGCTTCCACTGCTTGATGGTCTTGTCTTCACTGCACGAGAAGAACGTGTTGCCGTCGGGGGCCGTTGTGAGGCCACGCACGAAGCCCGCGTGGCCGTAGACCGACCAGACGCACTTGCGCCGGGGCAAGTCCCAGAGGCGGATTTCGCCATCGCAAGCGCCACTGACAAAGGCCACGAGACTCTTGGGCGAGCTTGCAAAGCAGCTCACGCTGTCGCAGTGGCCGTCGAGCGCCGCAATGAACGGCTTGGCGAAGATTTTGTCGAGCTTGGTGGCGTTCAACGCGCGCGTGTACTACAACTGCAACCTGAGAACTTGGAAAGAGAGACGAGGACGCACCTCACGCGGACGCTCGAACGGGTGCAGCGACGGGTCATAGTTGCGGTGGATCTTGGTCTTGTCCGTCGCGAGCTCCTGCGTGAATTGGCTCTCGACGCGCGAGATGGTCTTGACCTTCATCTTTCCAAATACTGATGAGCTCTATCCATTGGACGCGACGGCTTACGACCAACACTCTGCCACTACCTCTCGCAACGCATAGCACACTATATTCACACGCGTGGTGCGTGGCCGTTCACGTCGTCAACGAGGGAGGCGGCGAGGATGCAATCGTGCGAGAAGTGTTGTAACATGTACTTGTGTCCCAGGCAGAAACGCGCGGCGGTGTGGCTTTTTATGCTATCATGCGATGGCTCTTTATATAGTTTGATCGGATTCCAGAACCCGTTCAAATGTTCTACGGGTATCTGTTCAGGACGATCCTAGCTCGATTCATCGGCCTAATTAATCGACTTCAGACCGAGACCTAAAATCCAGCAGGAGCAAGTGTGCACGACAAATACCGCAATGACCCTTCAACGCTCGACTTCAACTTGGCAGTCAAGGAGTCCCAACCCGTTGAATCAAATTCCAGAAGAGGATCCATCGACAAGGCATCACCCCACTGCTCCATTACACAAGCTAGTTCGTAGTCGATGGGCATTTGAGGTCTAATGTTAGTGTGACTCTCACTTTGCAGGGCCACGCGAACTCGGTGGGTGCATGACTCAAACACTATTTTAGTTTCTCACTCTATTGATGGACTCCTTCGATATTTAGTTTGAGAGGTGTAGCTATCAATTGTACGACCTAAGTATTTGTATGTAAGCTTTCAAAACCTATCGATAAAAATATCACATTCTACGACTAGTTTTTAGTAAGACTAATAGATTCGATGTATTAAAATTCAAATCCCGGAGGCTCGCAGCCGCCCAGTAGTGGAGTGGATTGCACCTGACCGCAGCAGCAACATGGCCTCGTACGCCGGTCGCCCTTGATGATGAGGCGCTCATGCAGCTTCCTGGCCGTAGCATCGACGACAAGCGCGTGACGACCAAGGAAGACGAGGACGAGTTCCTCAACGGCCCGCTCTCGCTCCTCATGCAGAGCGTCAAGAACAACTCGCAGGTGCTCATTAACGTGCGCAACAACCATAAGTTATTGGCCCGCGTCAAGGCGTTCGACCGCCATTGCAACATGTAAGCAGTCTTGATCCTCCATGCAACGTCGGTCGCTCATGTGCGATAATGCAGGGTGCTCGAAAATGTCAAGGAGATGTGGACAGAGGTCCCCAAGACGACCAAAGGCAAGGGCAAGCCGAAGAACGTCGAGCGCTTTGTGAGCAAGATGTTTCTCCGTGGCGACTCGGTCATCCTCGTCCTGCGCAACCCGCACAACTAGATGAGGATGGTTGCGCTGCCTGAATAACATAAATACACCGCGCAAAGCACTATCGCCGTGTCATGTCGACGCCTGCGAGCGTCAAGATACGGCGTGCGCGACCCGCCGACTGCAAGAGCTGACTGAGCTGCTCGCGCTGCTTCTCGCCTTTATGGCTTTCGTCCTGGAGCGTCTGGATGGCCAGTGCCAGTAGCTCGTAGCGCTGCTCGAGCACATCGAGAAAGAAAGTCATAAACGCCGTGTACCCGACGCCCCGCTTGGACGATGGATCCATGCGCGCGAGTGCCTCCCACATTGCTTGACTACATGTACCGCTGGTAAGACGACGACCCAGGTGGCTTCGAGCCTTACATGTGGGCGCTGGAAAGACCAATGGCCCAGCCGCGTAGGACGTGGGCAAACTGCGTCTTGGCCACGATGCCACTGACGGACGTCGACTGCATTGCGGCATAGAGCTGATCCAAGCTCCACTCGCGCTCTTCCATGGCGCGGCAGACGCTGAAGAAGAGTGCCCGCAGCTGCTTCTGCAACTTGGCTGTGCCAGCGACCTTGGGTTTCACAGGCAGCGCCGTCGTCTCGTCGACGTGATTCAGCGCGAGCTTGAGGCGAAAGGACGCAGCCATGGGCACGTGGCCCTTCTTGAGCGGGATGTGCTTGGGCGGCGACTGCAAATGCTTGAGCTCCGTAATGTACTTGAGTAGCCGGTCGCGGTGCAGCTTGGAGTGAATGTACAGGCGGTCGCGCAACGCCGCGTGGTCCAGCGCCTCTAGCTTCTCGCGCGAGTCGATGTGCGCCTGGAAAAAGCGTGGAATGTACTGAGCAAGGTGCACGGACGTGAGCCACGCAGCGATGTCCAAGGGCTGCGACGATGTAGGCGGACTTCTTGGCGGTGACGCCGGCAAAGGTACGACGGTGTCGTGGTCGCGAAGCTGGGCTTGGCACGCTGCCAAGAGAGTCAAGTGAGACGGCTTTTGTGGCTGGAAGACGCGCAAAAGGCCGTCGGTCTCGAGGCTCAGAAAGGACGCTAGTGACAGCTGGTCTAATCGGCGCACGTACACGAGGAGCTCACGGTCTTGGGCCCAGAAATACCTAACACACCCATGGTCAACCGGTTCACGTGGCGTGACGCCACACTACCGCAAACTAGAGAGATCGGTGACCATGGCGAGCTGCGACCGGCGGTGGCGGGCTAACGCATCGCGCGCGGCTTGCGACACCACGGGGCTCGCTAGCGCCGAGATCGCCTCCAACAGCACCATCCGGTGGTGGGACGCGCAGAAAAAGAGCGGCATCTGCGGCAACAGGCGCTCCAATGACGTGGCCGCCCACGACGACGGCTGATGAAGGTCGATGTGCAATCGGGATCCCAACTGGAGAAGCTCCGTTCCCGAGACCTGACACGAAGCAGCGATCTATGTCAGAGTTAGCGTCGCCTTTTGGATTTAGCAAAGCACACCTCGAGGGGTAGGCGGAAGAGCGCTGTGAGCCAAATCCCCACGAGGTCGCATGTCCACGTTTCTGGCCGAAGTGCTTTTCGCGCGAGGTAGAACTGTCTCCACGTCGAGACGACATCACTCACGATGTCCCGATGCCGACGCTTCTTGGCTCGCTCGATGCGGTAGCGAAGTATGAGTTGTCGCTTCCAGGCCCTGAAACAGTGCTCGAGCACGAACCGCCGCTTCTGTGCTTGGTCGCGGCGAAGCTGCAATTGCCGAGCACAAAACGCATGTTGCTGCTGCCATTGGTGCCATCGTAGGCGGAGATGCATGGTCCTCAACGGCGATAGGATGCGGCGGACACCGCGCTTGAGCTGCCTCCACGTAGCGAGTCGCGTGCGCCAGTACCCAAATGCCACTCGAAGCATCTTGATGCAATTTTTGCGTCGACACCGCTGTACACGTCGCGCCTGCTGTACGTGGCGCTTCCAGCGACCGAAAAGGACGTGCAGCGTCTTGGCTCTTGCGCGTCTGTGTTTGTGGGTAATCTATCACTGTCGCTGAATACCTCCGTCGATTGAGCACCCAACGTACCGTGCGACTGCGCTGCGCAAAGCGCTTCATGCGCTGAAACGTGTGGGCTACCACTTGGCCCACTGCGCGCCGGTACTTGGCCGCAATGCGCCGCAGCAAGCGCACGCGGGTGCGCCACGCGACAAAGATGCGGAAGCGTCGCCGGTCGTACGCACGGTCAGACATCTTGCGGACAACACAGAGGAGCAGCGCGCGTTTCTTCCAGCCACTGAACGCTCGCCGCAGCCGGTCCTTGTTCTCGAGGGCTTTGGTCGCTTCAATCTCGGCCCATATGTCGGCGTACTTGTCCTCGAGCGTCTCGGCAGCGCTGTTGTGACTCGGAGCGAGCGCGTTTAGGTGCTTGAAGGCATCGCTCAAGAGCGACGCCACCGTCGACATGGACGTGGTCGACGGCAACACCATGAAGTTGTCCGACGTTGGCAGCGCAAGCGCGTGGTGCATGCGTCCGTAATGACTCACGTCCGCCGCAATGCTGCTGTCATCATGCTCAGCAACGTACGTGTGCACGGCCTCGGCGAAGAGGCCCACTTGCTTCGGCACATGCAATCGCGGCACCGTGGCCGAAAGGAGCGGCTCTTCTCCGCGAACCACGGGCTCTGGTGTACTAGCCGAGGGCTCTGCGATAACGTTGTTGGGCGTCGTCGTTGGCTCGTCGGATGGTTCGTTCGCGGCGGGTGCGTCTGCATGCTCCATCGCCGGATCAAAAATAGATGACGGTAACCTAAATGGCGCAACGCTCAATAACTTCAAGAAGGTGCCCGGCCTTTTTAACACAGCTCGACGAAAAAGCAAATGGACCCAAGCAATTTTGTACCCTCGACAAGGTGTTAGCCTCCGCGTTTGTCAAGTGGAGCATTTTGCTGACGTTGCCACGTCATGGGCAATGAATGACCCTGAACGGTGTCAAGGTATGGGTAATGAGCCGGTTAGCCATCCAGTTTAACCGTCAAGCGATCTGGAACCGGTTCTGAACAGGCGAAACGGCATGTCGCCTTTCCAGCTCCAAGGGCCAAGCACGATGTTGGGCTGGCTGGTCTGGAGCGTCATGCTTTTGGCTGTGGGCTTCACCGCCGGAGCGCTTTCGATGGTGCTTCTCGGCTGGGAGCCACTGCTGCGGGGCGCGGCTCGAGTTGTCAGAGCGAGGTCGAAGACGAAACACGGGCGCGGCCTCGCCCGTGAGGCGACCGGCGACGACCAGAACCAATTTACCTTTCTTGCGCAGTCGCTGGTCTCGCAACAAGTACGGGCAACAGACATCCTTGCGATTGCAGCCCTCGCATCCAAGCAACAACCGACCGATGTCGACTCTGGCCTGGAAGGCATGGACCTCCATAGCCTCTCGATGCCACTGCAAGTGAAGGAGTTCAACCGCGTCGTTGGTCGTCTCTTGAGCGGAGCCCTCGGTGCTTCGACACAATTGCAGATCATCAATTCTGCGCTATCATGCGACGACGACGTCAGACCTCTGCGGACGAGCCTCTTGTGCTTGACAAAGCCCACGTCCCAGATCTTTCGGGTACGAAACACTTTTATCAATGAAATTAAATACTCCAGGCACGTAGATGACGCTACTGACGCTGCGTGTGCTCGTGCAGCGCGCATCCGACGCGATGCCCAGCGAAGGTGGTGCCCATGCTGCTGTTATGGCTCAGTTCCTCGGCCGCTCGTTCGGTCCAACACTGCAGCTGGACGCGATTGCCCTCACTCGGCTGCTGCAAGACTACGAGACTATCGTGCAACGCGTATGCAACTGCCTCGAAGACCAAGTGTCATTCACTTCTTGGCTTGTAGATGTTAGCAATAGAGGCTCCGTCCGAAGCTCTCCGCGCGTACGCTGCGGGTCCAGCGCTGCATGTCGCCTCTGCCAGACAGACCACATCGCCTCCAATCGACGTGTCATGGACCAACGCTGTGCTATCGCGCTGGTTTCAAGAGTACGCGTCGATGCCTCAGCTCGTCGCTGTCTGGGCGGCTTCGGCCAACCGGCTCTTGCAGAAGCAGCCTCTGCCGGGGTCCATCGAAACACTTGAGCTCAAGCAGTTGACGCTGGGAGCGACTCCTCCTTGCATTTCTAGTCTTGCGCACGTGGCGACCCACACTCCCGACGAGCTCGTACGTTGCCCTCCAAGCGGAGAATCCAAGTGACCGTCTTCACATAGTGCTTGGCGTTCACATTGGACTATACTGGCGACGCAAGTGTCGAGGTGCACACGTCCGTGCCCATGTCTGACTTTGAGACCAAGGTTTCGATCCGAGTCCATATCAAGTCGTTTCGTGGACGGTATATCCCTGGCCATCGCTACGCGCTAACGCACCAATAGAGTACGGCTTCTGGTACCACCAGCGATGACCGATCCAGGCCACGGCTGGGTTGCGTTCGAGGAACCACCGACGTTCGCGCTCAGTATTGAAAGCTGCCAACACCCGGTGCAGTGTATTTTTCTTTCATATTTCTTTATTTGTGATGTGTAGCCGCAAGGGCTACCGCAACTCGCCAAACTTGTTTCGCTCGAAATCCTTGAATCTATTGCTGCCGACGCCACACTGCCTCACTGGGTGCACATGGAGCTCCCGTGGCACCCCGTGACATCGTCGCTGGACGCATTTTTTGCAGACATCCAAGCAGCACCTGGGACGACGACATCCGATGCGTCTGCCAAGTCGTTTGTGGAAACCGCGGGTGGCCTCATGGGTAGCGCCGTCGGAAGTGCGTTTGGCGGCGCGTTTGGCGGCAAAGTCGCGCGGGCCGTCGGCGAAAAGATGGGCGAGCACCTTGCCAAGTGATCGTTTGCCTCATTTTAGGGTCTTATACTACGAATGACCTTGCGTAGGTATGCAACATCGACGCTGTCGCCAGTCGTGCACGACGTTGTCGCAACCGCCAAGTCCTTTCGAAGCCCCAAGCACAAGCCAGCGTCGCCAACTATCGTGCTGGCACCGACGGAGAGGTCCATATCAGCCGACAAGTTGGTGGCATTGGCGCGCAAAGCTAGTCGCGGTATAGCAGCTCGCTGTCTCAACCGTGTGGTTCTAATACTCACCATACAATCCAATAGTCGACGCCAAGGAACCCACGCCCCACACTGAGTCGGGGTCACCCAAAGCCAGCATCAACGTGGCGCAGCTCGTGTCGCGGGCAAAGCAAACGACCAACAAGGCGCACACCGAATGAATTGAGATATTACTCCAACGCCTTGAGGCGACGACGCAGCACCAATACATAGACCATATCATTTCCAAAGTTCCACGGAAGATTGTCGTCGTTCGTGTAGACTGCAATATCAAACGTCTCAGCCAAGCGTTTCAGCAGCGCCATTTCACGGCTAACGAGTTGCAGTCTCAACTCGAAGAGGATAGGGAACGTACTCTGGCAGTCGTTGCTTATACGCGAGAAGCACCGCCGTGGAGGGATTGGCGATGTCATGGAGCGTCGTCGCAAAGTCGTCAAACACGTCTTCATCGTAGAGGCAGTCCGCACATAGAACCGTATCCCACGGGCCATCAGGAGGCGGCTTGGTACCCCTAAACCGCTCACTGCATATCTAGAATCTTTCAAATCACGCGCCATTGTACCATTGGTACTCGCTGACACGGAGCGCTTGCTTCGACCACAGTTTCTCCACCGATGCCGACGCAGCGACGGCAGCGTCCGTGTTGCGAAGCGTTAACGGAACGATCGATGCCAAGTCGGTGAGCAGCAAGGTCGCAGGCCGCAAGTGAGCGGCGGCGAGGCCGACACCGCCTGTACTTTTGATGTACCGCACACTCGGCTGGTGCATATTGCATAGTTAGTACCTGTACCAGTGCCGAGCTCCAGAACGCGGCAGTTGCACACATACTCAGGGTGGCGACACATCAATTGTACAAGTGCCCGGCCCTATAGTCAGCGTTGGTGACAGGCTCCGGGCGTAGATTGGCGCGTACGCAGTTCCAAAAGACACCGCCGACGCCAACAGCCATGTCTTGGTGCAGCACAATCTCAATTGGCGGGCTCACCGGAACAGTGACGACGACAGAGGCCTGGCTCGCTTGCAAGTAGTTGACACCGAGCGTCGGCTGCTGGCGCTGCGGCAAGAGCGTCGGTGTCCACGCCACCAGTCCCATGCGATCTTCTTTTCGACGGCTGAAAATCCAAACGTTTTGGATATTTCGAAATACGATACTCTACCGTACTAAATTTACGCGCATGTCCTTCGAAGCCGTCGACTGCCGTGCCGCTTGAGACAAAGAAGCGCAAAAAGAATGCACGCCGAGAGCATTGCAAAGGCGACTTGGGCGGGCCACAGCAGCGCTAGTTCAGCGTCGAGGCGGCCCGCACTGTTGACGGGTCGAAGCTTTGCCGCGGGCGTTTTGATAGCGGACGATACTAGTGGCACTATTGAGCTAAAGACCAACGGAAGCGACGCGGGTATCGGAGGAGCGCCTTCGGTTGGTGTCGCTTTGCTCAAGCCTGGATTGTGCGGGTTAAGGTCTCTTGCTGCGTCTGCTGGCTTTGCCTGGTGTGTAGCTACGTGAACTGGCACATCGCCTCGATCTTCCGCCAGCTCAAAGCTCGACGGCACGCCCCAACGGTCCTGAAAGAACGCTTTGAGTCGATGTACAACCTACAACAGCAGCGGTTGTAATGCATTTGATGTATCGCCTTGTACCGCCGGAGCAGGCGTCGACATGTCGTCGTTGACGCAAATGAACTTGGCCGTCGACAGCTTCTTGTCTTGGAGGAGCATTGTTATGCTGCGAAGGTCCTTTATCATCACAAAGACAACCGGGGGGTTCGCCACAATATTGTGTGCCGGCGGTACGCTGCCCGGTGACAAATGCGCGAGGTGCAGTGCCAATAGCGGACAGTGCCGCTCCAAGCCGGCTGCAGTGAGTGCAGTCGAATTGCCCCTGCAAGAGTCCACGACAGCCTCGATCTCTGACGCTGGGCGCTGCCAGTCACCAAGGAGCCGTGCGATTCCATCCATCTCGATAGTATCGACGACTCCGTTGTGGTTGATGTCAATGAGCGAGTTGAACACTTCGCGAAACGTCGACGCTGGGTGCAGCTGGCGTCGGTTCAGAACGTAGTGCATGTACGAAAAGCCAAACTGCATGTCATCGGGCTCCCGAAAGCGGTGCGATGACGTGGCTGCAAACTCGGCGGACCACTGGCGCTTCAGCTCCGTAAGCAGACGCTTCTGGATGAAGTGCGGCATGTGCGATGGCACGCCCCGCGCTCGCACGGGCTTCCCAAATGCTCGGTTGAAAAGAACGTTGACGTGTCGCAACGAGTCACCAAAGGTGTCTGCGTAGTCGACTCGCTCCGTTAGCGGCGGCCGTGATGCGCAGTTGTCGCTAGTGGGCGCTGGTGTCTCGGCGCCGAATTGCATACGACACATCTACGCGTCTTTATGAGTCGAGTCCAATGGCTTATTATACCATCGAGACGAGTTGTGACGAGTGCTGGGACGAGTCGGGCCCGGTGCCCAGTTTTTTGCCAAGCTGGGCGCAGTGTGCAATCACGTCGGACTTTTGTACCACGCGTTGCCGCTGACCGCGACCGCTGCACCGAGGTTCAAGCGAAGTGTACGATTCCAAACACCATTTGTACCAGGCACAATCGCGCGCCGACGCTGGGGCATTCGAAGCTGTCACGGCTGGCGTCTGCAGCGGCCACACTTGCGCGTCCGCATCAAAGATGATGCATCCTTCAAAACCAGCGTTAATGCAAACGCGGGCATTGGCAATGTCACCAACGTCGAGTCGTAGGCTCAGCCCCAACGCCGAGATCGTACAGTCTCGGCCCGGAGCGCTTGCTTTTGTGCAGGTAATGGTGCTCGTGTCGCCGGCCTTTGTGACGCTGATGGTCACGGTGGCCGCCGTCGAGATGAACCACGGGACGAGGACGTGAGCTGACGCATGGCTCCGTGTTATGTTGACGTGGCTCAAGTCCAAGCCACCAAAACTGCGGTTGTTCTCAGTGAACCAAAGACCACTGGCCATCGACTCGCCGTGTGAGGATGTCGAAAGCTCCATTGACGCGCCATCAGCAGCGATGTGGAGGTGAAGCACCGATGGCAGTGGGTCTCCAAAGAAGACGACAACCGCATCAAGGCGAGGCACCACAACCGCGCGTCGGATTCCAGTACCCGTGACGGGAGCCATGCCACCAGTCTGGTAGAGCACGAGAGCTGGCGTCGCGTTGTCCAAGAGAACGACACAGTGCGTTGGTAAAGCTTCGCGCGCGACGCGTGCGTGTGGCAGTTGCGCCAACCGTTGCGGCAAGCAGTCTCCGGCGTCAAACGCGCACTCAACCAAGTTGCACTTTGGGTTGCAGACACCGTCGCCAAGTTGGTTCCAAATGCAGCCTGCCGCACACGCTGAGTCTGGCGAGTAGGCGGCGTCACCAAGGCACACATCGCTCCATGTGCTCAGCACCTACGCATCACGTTAAGAGTCTAGCGCTCTATAAATGAGCTACCATGGCCGATGGCGTCACCGATCGGTCGCACGTGCAGTCGCCAAGGTCGTAGTCACAACTCGCAACGTTGCAGCTCGCGTGGCATTGACCGTTCCCGAGCATCGCGTGCTTGCATCCAGGCGCGCACTCGGGCGCGTCCCATGCGAAAAACAAGTTCTGAGTTCCTCGTGGACTCATAAAGTCGGACGGCAGCACCGGCGCCGACAAAAACACCTCGTCGTTAAAGTACAAAAAGTACTCGGCCAACCCAGGGATGTTGTCCAGATGCGACTCGATCGCTGGCGACGCAAACGACGGCAGGTGGGACGCATTCGGAAAAATGTCAGCGTGTGGCACGACCGTGATGCGCGGGTGCGAGAGGTCGAGCCACCGCGGCACTTGACCGTCCGTCACGAGAAAAATGCGCCGGATCCACGGCGCGTACGTCTCGAGCGACCGGATCGAGTAGCGAAGCTCGTCGTTGTCTCGGAACCGGTTCTCCGCCGAGGCCAAGTCTTTCGTGGCGTTGCGGCCACGCCAATGCTGCAGCCAGTGACTCTTGGACTGCTGCCACGTGGCGTCGGACCCGTTGACCCACGTGTAGACGGCATCGATGGGCCCATACGCAGCGTACGCGACGCCGGACGTGTCGATGTTGCCAATGTTGTCGTGGGCGAAAATCGGTGGCACAAGCAGCAAGAACGCGACGGCCAGCGCCAACGCCATCGCGCCAAGTCGCGCGTTAGAAAATGGTGACGACGTTACGATGGGCGCGCTGGTCTCGTCCATGAGACGGTGTTACGGCGGGAGCAAAAATGGTAGTATATTTAGAATGGGACGGGGCTGGGCACCACGAAAAACGTGGCAGCCCCCAGGCAGCCCCACGGGCCAACGGCGCCTGGGATCTCTATCTGTCTCAATCTTATCATACCACCACCGGATTGGTTCGGTGAATGTGTGAGCTAGCAATGCTATTGCGTAGGAGGCAACATACTGGGCGTTGAAACTGACACCTGTCCGTTTTACGTGACGTGTTCGTGCCCCGTCTAGCATTTGCTGGTCGAGCACACGCCCAACGGCCGCACTAGGGACCTGGTCATGCGTGGCCGATAAAACCTAACCTACATGAGTACGCTTCAACTCCAGTCACGTCGCTGTAATCGATCCATTGGCCGCTAGGGCAAACATTGTATGCTTGTGGGTTCTTTGTAGTAGACTTACCTGTATGCCATTGCATTGCATTGCTACAGGCGCGTCAAACCGTCAAGGGCGAGGAGGTAGTGACGCCATCTCGCAGTTGGACTCGGCGACGGCTGCCACGGCTCAGCCACGAGTACAACCCACCAAGCCCACGACAGCAGCCACGGCGTGTAGTGCCAATGCGGTTTGACAGATGTGTACACTCGTGGTGGTTGAGGCGCAGTGCGAGATTTGGCAACTTCGTACGCCTTTAAAGTGCTGTAGCTGTGCGTCGCACCGCCCAGCAGCTCGAACGTCGATGGATGTGGCCAATGCTGCCTTAAAAACCACAGCAGCATGAACATGACCTAGACACAAACAAATCGAGCTAAAAGTAGTCCCCGCGACGTCAAACTTCTAGAGCTGGCCACAACAAGTCGTCGTTGATACACACAAATTTCTCTGTTGTCTGGTGCGGTTGGTACTTGAGGTCGATCGATTGAGGTCGATCGCACGTGCCTGGGAGTTTAGCATCACAAACAGAACCGGGGACGCCGCCACGAGGTCCGAACAATGGATCATCAAGGACGCCTGCGTCCATGGTGCATCGCTGCAGCAGGTTGCTAGCTCCCCGGGGGCCAGTGCAAGGAATTTCTCGACTTCGTACTCATCGACGAAGCCGTTCTGGTTGATGTCGATGAGAGTGGAAAACACCTCGGGCAGCGTCAATAGTCGGCGGTGGTTTGCAACGTAGTGCATGTACGGAAAGCTAAACTGCATGTTGGTTGTGACGCAAAACCGGTGTGACGACGTCGCGTCAAACTCGGCTGGCCAAAGCTGCTAGGCTTCTGGACAAAGTGCGGCATGTGAGACGGCACGCCCCTCGGACGCACCGGTTGACCAAATGCGTTTGTCAACAGTCGGTTTACGAATCGAATTGAGTCCCCAAACATGTCTGGGGCTGCAGCATCATAGCCGCGCTCTTCATGCGCCAAACAACCGGCAAGCCACAATGCAGCATCTCAGTGCCGGCGCCAACACAACGCATCTCCGCGTGCGCGTCATGGACGAGATAGAGCGACGTAGAACAGTACTCTTTTCGGCATGGCGTCACAGTCCAGAACGCTATCGTCTCACGTGCAGAGCATCACCAACGCCGTCTTGGCGCGTTGTCCGAGATACGCGATATCGTTCAAGCACGATTCGTCGAGTGATTCGTGCAAAGCGGTGCACCAGAGGTACCGATCGCAGTCGCGGACAGTTGTCGGCCAACCCAGGGATGTTGTCCAGATGCGACTCGATCGCTGGCGACGCAAACGACGGCAGGTGGGACGCATTCGGAAAAATGTCAGCGTGTGGCACGACCGTGATGCGCGGGTGCGAGAGGTCGAGCCACCGCGGCACTTGACCGTCCGTCACGAGAAAAATGCGCCGGATCCACGGCGCGTACGTCTCGAGCGACCGGATCGAGTAGCGAAGCTCGTCGTTGTCTCGGAACCGGTTCTCCGCCGAGGCCAAGTCTTTCGTGGCGTTGCGGCCACGCCAATGCTGCAGCCAGTGACTCTTGGACTGCTGCCACGTGGCGTCGGACCCGTTGACCCACGTGTAGACGGCATCGATGGGCCCATACGCAGCGTACGCGACGCCGGACGTGTCGATGTTGCCAATGTTGTCGTACGGACCGCCAAACGTGTCGATTGCGAAGGCAACGGCAGTCGCTACGGCGGCGGTAATGAGCAACAACCGCAGCTCGTGGCTTGCCCGCGACGGGAGCCGCCGCCGTTGGAGCTGCTTGGTCGGTGCACCTTCTAAAGCGGCTCTGGTGGCTCTTGCACCCGCGGGGCCACGCATCGGAATCGAATTGAAGCGCGCTGGTGAAACGGGACAGAACGTCGACTGGCGACCTGGCTCAGGCGGGATATGGCTGTCAGTTACACAAATATAATCGAAAAAGGAGACCACCCAACAACGGTTACCGCTTCGGATCCCAGCGACCGACGCATGCAACGCGACACGAGCAGTGCTGGCGCGAGAGCCGATAGGCTTTCGACGCTGGAGGCGCTGCCGAAGCCGACGGGCGTTCGCGACCGTATCCGTGCACTCCACGCGCTCAAGCTCGCCGAGTGTCCGCTCCTGTCGCCCCGCACCGGCCTCACTGAGATCCTTCCGTCTCGTTGGTCTCGCGCCTTCTTCTGTTGCAGAGCATTGCCAGAGCGCACGACGCTGCACTTGAGTCTTCACGGTCTCGCGTGGCAGCGCGAGTGCATCTCGCTCGACGATCTCATCGGCGCCGTCGTCGACGCCCAGAGCCCGACACGCTTCAGCGTGCACTTTGCCCGACAGGCGATAGCGAACGACCGCGTCTTTGGCTCCTCAACGGTGCGACTCGACGGTTTTAACGTCGTTAACCTCGTCGCTAGTTTACGATGTCGACGGGCGAGGAAGCCGCGGCGTGGGTCAGCGATCTCCAACGGCTCGTGCAATGGCACGCCCGGGTGCCGCAGAGCTCGCCACGTCATATCCACGTGCTTCTCGACCCGCAGATAGCGACGGCAGCGGCCACGTGGCTCGAGTGCGCGCCCTACGTCTATCTCGCGCATATGACGGCCACTGTTTTCGAGAATGTTGCGCCAGCCGAGTACGGGCAGCGATGCAGGACGGAGCCTGAACCCGAGAGCGTCTTGGTCGTCGGCGACAGCACAACGCTGGAGGCGGTGCTGAACGGATTTCTCACACAAGGCGAGACGGCGGCACGGACTGTGCTTGGGAGCTTGCCGATCGCCCTCGTCCCAGCATTCCTCGACGAGCCCTTCTCGGTAAGAATTCTAGCATGCGTCGGGCTCTTCCACACAGAATTAGCGAGGAATTCGGTGTCCGACGCCGGCAGCAGCGATCTTTTGCGCCATCAAGCGCAAGACTCGCACAGTTGATGCCATGGCCATGGCCTCCCTGGGCGGGCCCGTGCGCATCGCGTGCACCAGCATCGTCTATGGCGTCGATACAGATCTCCCCGCGACTGTCGGCTGGGACACGTTTCACGCCCCGACCGTAGTTGACCCAGACCAAGGCGCAACCTTCCAGCACCAAGTCGAAGTCGCCAGCCCGTACCACAGAAGCCACCGACGCGCCTGGAGCGGCGTCTTTACACCACCCGACGCGCCAAAGCTGACGACAATGACAATGGCGGAGGTGCCGGAGCTGCTCTCAATCGCAGTAACCAAAACGACACCGCTCGGGACCGAGGGCGTCGCGCTCTCGGACGGTGCGCTGGCCGTTCGGTTGACCTACGCGCGAGGGTGTGGCAGTCACTTTGGGACCGTTCGCCGGGGCAAGAGCAAGCACGTGGTTGTGACGTTTCCAAGAAGCGGCCCCATGAGCATCTACTGCTTACCCCACCTTCTCCTCGTATGTAGTGAAGCTTGAAAGACCTACTGGTCTATCTCTGGCAGTTTGTCATTGTTCCGCTAGAAAGGCATCCCCAGTGACGTCGCTGTAAGGTCGAGAGCTACGACGCACAGTAGGTCCATTTGTAGCTGAAGAAGGCTGAATGTGGTGGCTCAATCAGAGTGCTGGATCGAAATGTTGTATTATGGCGAAGGTCATGCTGTAGGGCTTAGCGGCGCCCTCGTGCGCCCGACGAGGACGTTGACGAGCGCCGACCCGTCGTCATCGTGAAAGTAACACTGCTCCGCAGCGTGGCTGCCGCTCCACCTCGGCACCTCATACTGCTTATCCTGCTTGAGGATCTGGAGCACCCGCTTGAGGACGCGGTCGCACGTGTCGTAGACCCGGGCGCCGGTCGCCTCGGCGCGCTTGTCGAGTTTGGGTAGCGTAGGCTGCAGGTTCACTAGAACCAAGTGCTTGGCAAAGCTCCCGCCATTTCGCAGAATGGCTCGACGCGCAGGGATGTGCCGAGTACCAAGGCCACGTCGGCGGCCTCGCAATGGTCGATGGCTGCGTCAATGTCATCCATCGGCGCGTCAAAGCCGATGACGTAGCGCTGGAGGTACCCGTTGCTCTTGCGCGTGCGCTTGGAGAGACGCTGCTCGATCGGCTTCTTCACGGACGGACACGCCGCCTGCGTGCAGAGGCCAAACACAGGAAAGGCCTCCTCGTACACAAACTCGCACGTGTCGCAGCGTCCAAACGTCGCGTTCCCATGCAGCTCTGTGAGTGCGTCCGGCGGGATCCCGCTCTTGCGATGAAGGTTGTCGACGTTTTGCGTCACGACGTGCTTGACATGCCCCATGCGGTAGAGCTCTGCCAGTGCCATGTGCGCTGGCGACGGCACGAGCGTGTGCAAATCCGGGATCACCGCGTCGCGTCGCTGCTTCTTCTTGGACGACGTGCGAATGCCATTTTCGCCGCGGTAGTCGGGCACGCCCGTGGACGTACTCACGCCGGCGCCCGTAAAGACCACGAGGTGCTTGGCCGTCGCGATGAGGTGCGCGATGCGCTCGCACTGCGCGTCCAAGCTGCTCGTCTGGCTGCTGCTGCTCAGTGGCGATGCTGCGCTCGTGGCATCGGCCTTGGTCGTCGGCTCTGGCGACGCGGATCGCCGGCGCTTCGGGGCCGTCGCGTGTGGCATCGGCGCGGATCTTTGGAAGGTGGCCGCTTTTAGAGTGTGAGTAATTCATTGCGGCAGACATGGCAAACACTTGCGTCTAGTATAGGCATTCGAAGAACGGCATTAAAACCACCGCAGACCAATGACCGTTGCGGAAACAGTGTTTTCCAACAGGAGCCAAATTCTGTTTCGCCGCAAGTGTCCAACCGTACTGGCGTACATCAATAATGACTCGCTCAAGCGCCAGGACGTTGTTTATTCACTATGATCTACAGCTGCAGCGAACGCACGCTTGACGCTGGAAACAAGGCTAACACAATCTCTACGCAGACGCCAGCTTGGCACCCGATTCATCGAGGGCCACGTTGTGCTTCTTGAGGAGCGCAACGACGGCCTCGACCTGGTCCGCCGCCTCGGACTTGGTCAGCTGAAACAGGACGTGGTTGACAGTCTTGGAGTCGATCTTCTTGGCCGCACTACATCAAAGGATTAGGCTCAATCGATCGGGGCGAGGGATGCGTACGCAGCGGCTTCGAGGACCGCGAGGGCCTTCTCGACGTCGCCCGAGCGGAGGTGCGCGCTGATAGCCAAGTGGTACGACACCGGGTTGTAGCGAATATCAAACTTCTTGGCTTCGTCAAAGACCGCGATGAGGTTCGCGTCGTCCTTGGCGTTCTTGAAGTGCACGAGGAGCTTGTTGAGCGAGCCAGCGTTCACAAAGAGGCCAATGCGGCGGTTCTGCGAGAGCGCCGAGACAGCGACGTCAGCGGCGTCGTGCTGGATGCACGCCTTGACAAATTCGCCGGCCGTCACCTCAATCGGGTCGATGTGCTTGCGCTCGTAGATCTTGAGCGCTTCCGTGCTCAGCTCGAGGTCGGCCTTCGACGTGGCCGTCTTGAAGAGGTTCGTGAGCTTGGAGACCTTGATAAGCTTGTTCTTGGCCGCATCGGCCTTGATGTCCTCGAAGAGGACGTTGAACTCGGGGAGAATGGACGCGGACGTGCTCAGGGCGCGGACACCGCGGCGGCTCAGGGCTTGCAACATGCTGCTTCTGGATCAAGGAGTTGACTGGTGCAAATGCCAAGCCTGGTTAATCCTTGAAATTTAATCGTATCTTGTTTTTGTATTCAGTCGTACGCAAAATCATTCTATAGTGGCAGCGCGCGATGCCATTGGGCAAATCCTCAAGTAGACATACTCTATTTAATTGCGAACACCATTTCACGAGACGCGTCTTCGGTAGTACTAGTAGCCGGTAGTCAAGTTGACTCGATGCAGCTGTGCTATCTATGCGTACGCTAGATGCATACCAAGTCGTCTCGAGCGAAATACGAGGGTCGCTGTGCAGCAGAGGTGGCTTATTTATAGAAGAAGCTTGAAGATGAATCCTAAATCGTGTAATATGACACTATATTGTGCTTGCGACAGGCCGTGCATTGATTGGCGCAAGCCCACAAGGTCAGATTGCACCGAGCATGTTTTGCCGCGCTGTCGCCGTTGTCCGTGCCGGGAGCTGCCACCGGCGCTTCGCCTCGTCGTCGTTCATCGACGTCTACAACGATGTGCGCAACCACGCGGAGACGCACCACACGATCAAGGTCGCGCGGCTCACGCAGCTCTTCAAGGCCGCCACCACGAAGCGCGATGTGATCGACGCGGTCCAAGTCCTCCGCCTCTTTGAGACGCGGTACATTGAGCCTGTCCAGGAGACCGCGGGCGAGTTCATCAAGAAGTGCATCCAAGTCGACGCCGGCGACGTGGCACTCAAGGTGTTCCAGAACCACTCGCGCCTCGGGCTCCACGTCAACACGGGCTCGCTCAACAAGCTCCTCGTCTACTTTTACGACAAGAAGGAGTTTAGCAACGTGCTCAGCTTGTACCGCGAGATGAAAGCGTACGAAGTCAAGTTCAACAAGGACACGTACAACGTTGCGATTCGGTACGATGACCCTTTTTGCTCGAGTAATCATCTCTCTTCAGCGCGCTCTTGGAGCTCGATGACGTGGACGCAGCGTTCAATTGCTTCAGTTTGCAGCGTACGAAGCATGCTCACTTGTGGTTTGCTGCACACCACTCTCGTTTTAGGACCAAGAACGAAATCAAGCGCTACACGTGCAACTACGTTCTCATGGAGCTCGTCAAGCGCGGCCTTCACGACAAGGTTCATCACGATGGAGTCGGAAGATGCTAACGCAGCGACTAGGTTGAGATCGTCGCCAAGTGCATGACCACCTACGGCATCGCGGCCAACGACACCACCAAGCACCTCGCGGGCCCGACGTCCGACTAAGTGAAAACTGTACCCACGACTACCATAATTCTATCCTTCGTTTGGCATGTATTGCGATCAACGCGTTCTGCTACACCAAGAGACCCTTGGCCTGTCGGTACTCGAGTGCTTGTCCGGATAAAGATTCGGGAGTACCGGATACGCGACCCGCACCAGTGATACCCAAGCATGCTCCTGCTGCGTCGCGTGGGTCGGCGTCCGGTCTGCGCCCGCGGGTTTGCATCGCAAGCGCCGCTGACGCGCGAGTACATCCACAGCTGCTTGTACCGCAAGGAGGAGGGCTACTTTACGTCGACGAAGCGCGAGGTGCTGCATGCGCCCAAGGAGCCCATCGACTTCAACGACCTCTGGGGCAAGCGCGAGTACAAGAACCAAGTCGCGGCCTTGTACGCGCAGGACAAGGAGGCGTGGATGACACCCGTCGAGGTCTTCTACCCCTACTACTCGCGCGCGATCGCCAACTACATGATGATGTCGCCGCACACGCTCAACGCCGAGACGCTGCACATATACGAGATTGGCGGCGGCGCCGGCACGAACGCCCTCTGTATCCTTGACTACCTCAAAGAGCAAGCGCCCAAGCTCTATGCCAACACGACGTACACGATGATCGAGATCAGCGCGCGCATGGCCGCGCGCCAGGCCGCCCGCGTCGCGTCGCACCCCAACTGCAAGGTCATCAACAGCGATATCCTCACCTACTCGGCCAATCACCCCAAGGTCAACGATCCGTGCTTCTTCATCGCGATGGAAGTGCTCGACAACCTCCCGCACGACAAGGTGACGCTGGCCGACGGCGAGTGGTTCCAGACGCATGTCCGCGACGATGCCGAGGAGCTCCAGCCACTCCGCGACCCGCTCATTGCGGAGGCGCTCGAGTACTTTTCCTGCGAAATTCCGCTGCGAGGGACGTTCAAGCGCACCTCCGGGTACAAGGCCCTACGCCGTCGTTGCTCTGAATAACTTGTTGATGTCTAGGCTCGCGACGCAGCTGCGGTCGATGATTGGCATGCGCGAGAAGCTCCTGAACGCAGCGTTCGTGCCCACAGGCGCAATGCAGCTCTTGCACACGCTGCACAAGAGCTTTCCCAAGCACCACTTGATCGCCGCCGACTTTGACGAGCTTCCCGCGCCGTCGCTCGACAAGGCGGCGACCCACCAACCGTACGACCACCCGCGCAGCGCAACGTCAACGGCGTCGGGACCGCTGCATGCCGCCAACGCGCCCCTCGTCGCGTCCAAAACCGACGGTACGCACGCATACGACCTAGCGTGTGCCACGATGCTGTCTAGGCGTCACGGTCGACCACGATACGTACTTGGTTCCCGGCGGCATCGCCGACATTTTTTTCCCCACGGATTTTATCAAGCTCAAGCAAGCCTACTGCCGCAAAATGGAGCTCAAGGATCACGAGGTTTGCATTGGCTCGTCTGTTATCGCGCTCTCAGCGCACGCGTAGGTGTCGATTGTCAAGTCGGGTGCGTTCTTGAAGGAATTCGGCGAAGTCGACAAGACACGCACAATCCTCGGCTACAACCCGCTGGTCGAAGACTACGCCAACACAAGCTTCATCTTGAGCTAAAGCTTGGATAACACGGGCAATCCAGCATCGAGACGCGACAACTCGGCCTCGCCAAAGCCCCACGCGGCAACAATTGACGTCATCGTCGCGTCATCGAGGGTGTTCGCAGTCGCTTCGTACAGCAGTCCGACGCGCTCGCCGTCAGACGATGACAGCCACGGGCGAAACTCGTGCAACGACTGGAGCACCCACGCGTAGCTACAGAGACGCCACAGTCGCGAGAGCGCCTCCGTCGTCGCTGCGTCCTTCCTGCAGAGAGCGCGTCAGAGGCTGCGTGCCACATACCGTACGTACACTGTGCGCAGCCGGTCGGCAAAGGCTTGGAGAAGGTAGAGCTCGGAGGCGGCGAGCGAGAGCCGCGTCATCTTGTACGCACTGTCTCTTGATATTGCGTCAAACTGCAGCGCGTGTAGTCGGTGCGAGAAGAGCACAAGGAGGTCGGGCACCACTGTGATATCCACACGTGCCAGCGGCAGAGGCTCGGTCCGCAGTTGCTTGCGCAAGTACGCACCATGCTGCAGCACAAGCACGTCAAACGTTCCTTCGTACGTGCACGAGCCGACAATTTCGTTCTTGAGGTACACCACGGCGTGACTCGCGTCGTAGCCGCCTGCCACGATGCAAGCTTGGAGACCGTCGACGACTCGGGTCGAGACGAGCGCCTTGAGCCCGCTTGACGTCGCATGCAACGTGTGCAGCTTGTGCGTATCGCGGGCCGCGAGCACTTGGGTATAGAGCGCGTAGAGCGTTTGGCCCGCAAAGATTGCGGCGAGCGCGAGACCCATCGCGGGGTACAGCGTTCGTCGGGCCTCCACAGCGCGCGACTGCCTACGCAGCTCTATTCAATACTCCGAACAGAGCTCGAAAGCAACGCACAAGTCTGGGAGCGTGAGCGCGAGTGCGCGGCCGAGGAACCGAGCGCACTTGGAGACGAGAAAGACGCGCGTTTTCACCATCGTAAAGTAGCCCCAAGGAGCTGCCGCGCCGGCTCGTCGACGCAGTTGGCCCTGCGGACCCCACTCAACGCGTGCTGTCCCGAGGAGGAGCTGCGCCTTGGGAACACGGACGTGCTCAAAGTAGCAATATCCGTTGTCGACGCCGTTGAAGCCAATTTTGGCGCCAATGTCACCGAGGTGCACACCTGGCAGTGAGGCATGCGACTCGAGATCGCTATGCACCGCGCAGTTAGCTTCTACGTGCCTTGAGGAGCAAAATACCGTAGTTGCACCAAGAAGGCGTGCACGCCGTGGTCGGTGCCATCGCAAACTAGGAGGCGAGCGTACACGACGGCAAAGTTGGCGGTCTTTCCCAAGCCGCCGGGCCACCACTTGCGGCTCGTGAGCGTCGGTGAGTGCAAATCAAAAGCCTCTGTGACCGGATCGTATGTGGCGGTGGTTTCTAGCGCTCGGATGTTGGAGCCATGGCCCAATTCGGTCTGCGCGTATGCGCCGAGGAGAGGCATCGATCGCAATCTCTCCTGCCAGAGCGCCCACTGCGTATCACTCATGGACAGCTGCAGCGCGGGCAGAAACATCTTGCGGTGCATGTCGAGAGGCAGCACGCAACCGAGCGCTTCGCTCAGCGCTTCTTGGTCGTCGACGTCGACGATCTCGTGCGCCCGGAAGAACGAGAGCAAGGTGGCTGCCTTCTCGAGCGAGGCCGCGTACTCCTCCTCGTGACTGCGCCCATAGACGCGTCCCGGGTACGTGATCGCGGCTAGCCAAGCCTCGCGCCGAGCGTCGGCCACACCGATGGCTTGCGCCAAGTGCTGCGGGTTCATCAAGTCGAAATCTTGCATAAACAGGCAGGCAGCGGATTGGCGGAAAAACCTTCGTGCCCACGCAGATACTTTAAAAACACGCCACCTAATGGATCACACGCGGACGGACGCCGCACGCAGAAGAGCACTTTAGCTGAAAGGCCGCGTGCGTCACTTCCCTGGTCCTTGTTTCCTACTAGTTGTAGGTTTGTAGCGCAGAATGGCATCCAAGCATTAAATCTTGGACGCTGAGAGCAAGGTATTGTTGCGTGGAATTGGACATTAGTACGAGCCAATCCCGAGCCCCACAGATCAAGCAGCATGCCACCGACGGCGCCGCCCAAGACGACGCCGCGCCGCCTGAGCTGCTGCTGCGTCGAGTGCGGCTACGTGGTGAGCAGCACGTACCGCGACTACGGCAAGGGCAACATCCGCCTCACGATCTGCCCCAACTGCAACCACACGGTCGACAAGTACGTCGAGTTTGAGGCGATTCTGATCATGATCGACCTCATGCTCGGCAAGCCGCAGGCGTACCGCCACCTGCTCCACAACCGCCGTCCGCTGCTCTCGTACCAGCAAGTGCTCAAGATGTTCGCCGTCATCGTCATGCTCGACTGGAATACCAAGGCGTACCTGGCCGAGCGCGACGCTGGCGTCTACTTTCGCACCAACTCGATCTACAAGACGATATCGACGTACTCGGTCTTTCAAATCTCCCAGCTCGGCTTACACTACTTTATCCTCGCCGTCGTCGAGAACTTTGTCTACATGCTCACGCTCTGGCTCGCCGTACGCGTGCACCCGCGCTGGCGCAGCTTTAGCCGCTCCAAAGAGCTCCAGTTCCTCGGAGCACTGTGCCTCTCCAACTTTGGCAAGCTCTTTGCGTGGCTCACAGTCATCTGGGAATACAACTGGACAGTTGTGCACGTCATTGGCGCGATCGTCGTCTGCTCCAACTACCTCGTGCTCAAGATCTACGTCAACGACGGCACGTACGACACGCTTGGCGTCATCGCCGTCGCGGTCGCCGTCCGAGCGCTCACGCAGCTGTTGCTCTTCGCCCTCGGCAACCCCATGATCTTCTTTACGCTCATATAATCCGACGATGGGAATCGTAATACAGAAACGGCTGTTGCCTGCTCCGACCCAACACGACGAGCTCGATTCGAGACGTTTCCATCAAGCTTTGGACCCAACAACGACGTTCAGAAGTGAGCACGAGTATACTCTCGCGCTTGAGCCATGAGACGCTGAGCCCAATTCAGCCTGGTGGCATTTAAGCAGCCTACGGAGCAAACCTTGGCTACTAGACTCGAGCGTTTGTGCCAGAAACGAAATCTCTGCAAGTGGCACAAGTTAAAGATGGGTTGTCGCAGGTCATTGAATTCCACAGCACGGGTATCTCATTTTGGCGCGCTATTTTGGCACGACCAATGAGCCCAAGCTTGGGTCAACCGACAAGATGGGGCGTCATCGCCAGCAATGAGGGACTCTGCAATTCGCGTATGTACACTGGGGCGCTCGGCCGAGTGAACGCGCTCGAGTTCCGCAGCCCGTCCAAGGGCGAGGTGCCTGCAGTTGCGGCCGTCATGCCAGCGTCCAGTGACGTCTTTGAACGAGCCTTCTCGAAAGTAAAGGAGATTGCTCTCACCTCGCCCGACTGCAGCAACTACTCGGAAGGTACGCTTCCCCTCGGCCCTTCCATTCCTATCGTGTCGGTAGCCGAGCTCTTGGCGTGCTTCTCGCTTCCGTCGCCGACGTCCAAGGGCTGTCGACAGAGTGCAGCGAGTTGTGGCGACACCCACGAGACCGACCATGCCGAGTCGTCCTCCAGCTCTAGCGTCAACACGCTGCTCGATTCCTTCAGCACGCTCGACCTCGCGGCCGTTGCTGCGCGCAGTCCGTCACGTTGTCCCATCCTTGCCTGCGACAACAACAACAACACTAACGTCTGCAGTTGCGTAGGCTCTCCGAGCAGCCGCGCTTGCAACTTGTTTTACACGACATTCCCGAGGCGCTCTTGGAAGACGACGGGTCTCCGCGGGTCGACACGCCCGAATGCACCGACGACGACGACGAAACCAACGACGTGCGTGTCCTGTCGGCCAAAGAGGCGCACCGGCTCCTTCGCGGCGGTGGCTCGTTTGCATCGCGTGTCAAGCAGCGTGCACCGCCGTCCATAGCCGAGATTGAGCTCGCCAAGCAAGCGCGCGTTGTCGAGAAGATTAATCGCCAGAGCATTGTTCGGCGCACAACGTTGCGGCGCACGAGCAGCCGCGTGAGCTTTGCGCTGGACATGCCGCCACCACCCGGCGCGATGATGATGACAGCGCCTCCACCGCCCCGCGCCACAGTCGTGCTCAAGAAGCCACCGGTGATTCGAACCGCCCGTGCGTCCACCGTCGTCTCGCACACGAGCAAAGGGCCCGATCAAACTTTGACGCTGGACGCGACCAAGCGCGTGTACGCTCTCAATCATCGCCAACAGCACGCATGACATGCCGAGTAGGAGCAACATGAAGCTCGGGACGTCGCCCAAGAAGGCCAAGATCAAGCACGAAGACTTGATCACGACCGTGCACGAGAACAACCGGTCCCGCCGGCGACCCCGACGCCTCGGTGACGAGTGTACGTGGCAGCTCCACGCCGGCATACGATTCAGCTTGTGTCTAGTGATCAAGCAGCAGGCGTCGCACGTGTCGCTGGACGTCGTCGACCGCATCGGCACCCGCGCCGCGTGCCCCGTGCACTTGCTTTTGGAGCAGCCGGTTGTTGACTTTTCGTACGTGCCCGGCGTCGTCAACTCGTACAACAAGCCAGCCAAGCGCAAGAGCGTGCGCGTGAAGCGCTTGAAGCGGCCGTCGCTTTGGGTAGCGATGCATTGCACTGCGTAACGCTCTGCACATGAGAAAGCACATGTGTTTTCGTCATGCTGACATACACAACAGTTTTCTGCACTCTGCAGCGTGTTTGTTGTTGCGGCGCGCTTTGGTTGCCATGGGAGGTAGGTCTTCTCCATCTCTATCTTCTTGACAAGCGGCGCTGTGACGTGACAGTGCTGCAGAATGTCCACGCCAATTGAAAACCGAGAGTTGCCTTGTACACGGTACAATCAATGTCCACATTGTACGTAAATGGATTCCTACGAATGGAAGAAACGTCCCGAAAGTACGGGGGCGTGGTAATACACTTCGTGTCTTCGCTACGGACAGCGACTGAGGCTCGCTGGATGAGTGACGACAGCCGAGGCCACACCATTGGTTTTTGCGCCACTTGAATCGTCCAACAAATACTGACTCGTTACTTTATATCACCATGGTCTACTACGTCATGTCTGTGTCGTCCATCTCGTCGTCGGTCGACTGTCTCGCCAGTCGGCCTCGGTAGCTATTGCCGTACTTTCCTTCGCTGTGGGTCATGCACATGCCGTTGCGCTGCGCCCACTTGAGGCACCCGCTTGGATGGCCACATCGACGACCGCCGCCTATCACAAGAATGAGTACTCTTGTACCTATAGTCAGTGCAAGGTACCGTGGGACCGGCAGTAGCCGTCGCCTTGACTCGACTTGGTACAGCCTTCGATGCGGCAACGGACGCCGCCGCCGTGGGCTTTGCACATGCCGCGCGATTGGGCGGCCTTTGTGCAGCCTTCAACTGTACAGCGCTTTCCGCCGCCGTGCGCGATGCAAAGGCTGCTGCTCTGGCTCGCTCGCGTGCACCTAGCCAAACGCTTTAGCCCATTGTCGCTCTCTCACAAAAAAAACATACCCTTCCACGGAGCATCGGCGGCCACCACCGTGTGCCTTGCAGAGCCCCTTGGAGCGCGAGAGGTTGCTGCAGCCTTCGACAGAGCAGTTCTTCCGACGGTACTGCTTGGCACCGCTGCCGTGCTCGTGCTTGACGGCGCCGCCACTGGACGAGTCCGAGTCGTAGCTCTTGCCGCCACCCGACGAGTACCCGCCGTTGGCCGTCGCGAGCTCAATAAAGTCACCGTACGCGTGGTTCGTGGTCGGTTCGGACTTGATGAAGACATCGTGGCGCGAATTCGCCCGCGGCAGCGACGACGACGAGACCGAAGACATGGACGAGACCGACGACGCAGTCGAGTACTTGCGGGCGCTCTCCTTGGTGCGCATGCCGTGGCTCACCAAGTCTCTGCACAACGTGTTGATTTCGTCTGCGACACGGTAGTCGTTGCCGCTCATCGGTTGCGACTGTGGCTGCGGTTGCTGGTAGTTGATGCCGCCGCTCGCCTTGCGCAAGTAGTCGAACGGGGACGGCAAGAGCGCTTCCTGCAGCTGCTGGAGGTCCTCCATTTTCTCGACAGGCGTCGGGCGGTCTTTCGCAAAGTCGTACGGCGACGGGTACTTGATATCGGGCGTCGGTGTTGGGAACCGCGCCTCCGGTGTTGGCGTACACAGGAGCTCGTCGACGCGGTCTGGCGCCGACACCACGTACGGATGCATGGGCGGAAGCAGCGGCGGTGGTGCGCCGTCATAGTACCGCGGCTGTTGTTGTTGCTGCTGCTCGTAGGCGCGCTGGTCGTAGGTTGCGGTTCGCGCGTCGTAGCCGTAGTAGCTCGACGGCGGCGGCGGGTACGCGTTCCTGCTCGGCGGCGGCTCGGGCTGCTTCTTCTTCCCGAGCACGGAGAGGAACGAGAGCGACTTGGACACCTTGTCCTTGAAGCTCAGATCGCTGCTCATCGGCGGGTCTGCAGCAGTCAGTAAGCTTCGTTTTTGTCGAAATAGAGCAATCTCAAATAGCCAATCAGACGCGGTCGAAACCAACGAATAGCCAGGCGCACGAACTTCGAAGTCGAAGTGGCCGTGGCAACTACGTTCTTTTTGGGAGCCGGTCGAAGGCAATTTTTATATTCGGAACTGCAATTTTTTATCATCGTTCTCAATACGTAATAATGTGTGTGGTGCTGAGGACCGACCAGATTGAACCAGCTCCAAATTCCAAGTGGGCTAGTTTCGAGTCTCTACGAATATATTGCCAGATTCCATCGTTCTGGAGCCTGGTTGTCGAGCCTGGCGTGGTCTTGATGGCCTCGCTCAGATCCCAGAAGGGGCTCGCCATTGTGTTGAAGGTCCTTGCATTGGACAAGAGTAGTAGTGCCATCAGCATGTATCGTGGCTCGCTGGGCGTGGTTGGTCGATACGATGATGGTGATGCGTCGCTTCTCGTCTATGCTGCCGCCAAGTCCTGCGCGACCAAGTGTACACTTGGAGTTGCACAAGCAGTTTCGGAAGCGACAGTCAGCAAACGATACTGTACACACAGCACGTGCTATCCCGCATACCTGCCATGCCCACCAGGTCCATCGGCGGTATTTCGATCGAAGATATATTTAATCCATTTATTACAAATGAGCCTGGATCGCGGCTAGGGTAGGGCTCGAGCTTCAACTGCATTTCGGCCCGAGCCCTACCCCCGATTGGCACAGGTTTGTGCCGTTACCGCCTAAATGACGCTTCCCTTGCGTTGACCCGTTCACGCAATTTACAACCATATCGAACGTCCATGTACCAGTCAGTATAAATGTTGTTTCTGTACACTTGATGACAAGCGTTGTTGGGCTACTCGGTTGCGTCGTCCGTGAGGTGGTTGAGAAGCGACCCCATCTCCCAAATCATGATGGCGCCTTCGCTACCGACGGTCACAATGTGCTGGCGCTCGGGGCTGATCTTGACAGCGTTGATCGCCTCCGAGTGCCCTTTTCCAACCGCAATCGGCTCACCGTTGTCGTAATGCCACACTTTGAGCGTGCTATCGCGACCGCCAGTCACGAAGATGTTGCCGCTCCTATGATCAAAGTGGCACCGGCAGGTCTCGTCAAGAATCGGCTACCGTTCAATGTCGAGGGCGAGCATCTCGCCGTCGGCCGCCTCTTCGAGGATGCGGATGGCTTCGCCGTCGTACGAGTCGTAGTACGTGATGCGGCGGTCCGAGCCGCATGTGAGCAGCTGGGACTCGTCCGGGTGGTACAAGATGCGCCGGAAAACCGTCGAGGCAAACATGGCCTGCACGCGCGTGTAGTTTTCGAGATTCCACGAGATGCACGAGCTATCGCGATGATGAGCATCACGATCCTGTCCAGTCTTCTCTACCCATCCGAGGACGCGCTGACGCAGGACGAGTTATCGCGGACAATCTGAATACTGTTGACGGGTCCGCGGTGCTCCTACTCAGAGGCACTACGTCATAGACCTGCGTTACAATATCAAAGTACCTTCATGGACGCCTCCATCGTCTGACGCGACGGCGTGATGCGCCAGACGCGCACTCGGCCGTCCTTGCCGCCCGTGATGAGTCGCCACTCGCGCTCTTGCTCCGTGTCGTGACAGACCGCGATGGCCGTCACGCTTTCGTTGTGCGCGTCTTGAATGACAAACTTGAGTTTCCCCGACTCGGGGTAAAAGGCGCGGACCTTGCCGTCGTCCCAGCCGCTCACGATGACCGACCCGTCGGACGTCAGGTCGATGCAGTTGCACACGAGGTTGGGGACTTGGATGCGCAGGATCTCTTGGGCGCGCCGGGCGTTCCAGATGCGGATGTCGGTCTTGGAGCACGTCACAAAGAGGTTCGAGTTCATCTCGTGGCTCTTGAGCGACGACTTGGGAAACACAATGTCGTTGATGCCGCCATAGTGGCACGTCGCGCGCAGGTCGACACGGAGACCGAGACCGTCAGTGTTGGTGACAGCGACCGAGTACATGTTGCTCTGGTTCGTGCCAGCGTACAGCGATCCATGAGGTCCTTCCGAGAGGCTGGTGATGCCGCCCAGCAGCTTCTCAATCACCGTCGTGACGATGGGTGTCGATTTGATCGGCTCGTTGATACCGCCCGTGGGCAAGATGGCGAGGCTGCCGTCGCCTGCGCCGAGAAGGAGGTAGCGATGACCGTGGTCTTCGTAGACGATGACGGTGTTGATGCCTTGGCTGAACCGCTCCTTCGTCGTGCGGTTGTACCGGGGCTTTTGGGCGCCAACCGGGGGAAACGCGCAGTTGGGTTTGGTCAAGTCGCAGTCCATGATAACCTCGAGGAGGTCGCCCGTCTTTGTGCCACAGTACGCAATCTTGTCGTCCGACGAGAGTGCGATCGTCGAGATGATACGCTTGAGGTTCCCGAGGTTCGCGCGCAGCGGGTGGAACTTGCGGTACTTGTGGTCGATGCGCCAGACGTTGATCGAGTAGTTGCCACCCGTCACGAGGAGGTCGTTGTTGGCGCCTTGGCGAAACGCAGTCACCACAAGCGTCGAGTCGTCGCCCGCGGGCGTCCCGCACACGGGCTCGCCAGTTTTCATGCTCCAACACACTAGCGCGTTGTCGTCTTGGCCGCCCACCGTATACAAGCTTGTGTCCTGGGACGAGAACGCCATGTCCTGGACCTTTCCCATGTGCAGCACGAGGCGGTAGATGACCTTGTCGCTTTGGTTGGCCTTCTCGGTCATGGCCGCGATTGCTCCGCGAAGGTCCCAGACCAGCACCGGCGCCTTGTTGCCGCGGCTCTTGCTCTGCTGACCGGACGCGAGCTTAGCGCCATCGTTCGAGATGGCTAAGCACGTAATGATGTCGGTGTGACCATGCAAAAAACCCTGCGCGCTCGAGCGCAGATCCTTGATCACGACCGTTAGCCCGAGCGAGTAGATGAGGTACTGCCCGTCCTTGGTGTAGATGACCGTGTTGTTGTACGAGCCTACGACAGGCCATGAGCGCTCCATGCGACTGCTGCTGCGGTACCGTTGTAGCCGATGACCTTGAAGAGCTTGAGCTCCGCGACCTCTGCCATCTCCGATCCGTCGCTCCGAAAACGACCTTTGGCCCGTTTCCAAGTCGGGTATTTCCCACCCACGTGATTTCCTACCCGATCGGTTTCTTCCAAATAATTGTCGCTTAGAAATAAGCATATACGAAACATGTCGGCTATGTGGCGCACTTACGATTTCGACAGCGATGGCGGCAGCACGACCGACGACGGCCCTACGGGTACGACGGCCATGCTGCGCTTCTGGCTCAAGCGCTGGCGCTAGTACCTCAACCAGGCCCAAGCGCAGCGCATCGACGAAGAGCTCATGTCGACGTACGCCTTCTCGATCGACCAGCTCATGGAGCTCGCGGGTCTCAGCGTCGCAGCCGTTGTCGAGCACGAGTTCCAGCACACCCGCGAGACGCCGATGCTCGTCGTCGCTGGTCCTGGCAACAACGGGTACTAACTTAGTCCATGGCTTGACAGTGTTATGCTAGCCCTCACGTCCGCGAGTAGAGGCGATGCCTTGGTTGCGGCTCGCCACCTCAAGGTACACTCGCGCCCTGGGCCTCGCGTACGTATACTGCTACTGTCCCCGTAGCACTTTGGTTTTGCGCCCGAAATTTTGTACCCTAAAGTGCCCAGGAACCCGCTCTACGAGGTCCGACTTTCGATCGCGCGTATGAGCCTCATCACGTGGCGTAGCGTTTGGTCACGCAGTGCGAAGACCTCGATATTCCGTTTCTGCGAGATCTCTCCAAGTACGCTCTCAAAGGATGCATCATGGACAATATACGTGTCGATTGTTAGGGAGACCATTGACGCGCGTTATATGTGCATCCTCGACGGCATCTTCGGCTTTAGCTTCCAGGTCTGTCGTGCTGCATCAGCCTCTGAGTCTCATGCTCAGCGACAGGGCGAGATACGCGCGCCATTCGATGACGTGATCACAACGCTCCGATCGACGACAAGACCGATCGTGTCGATCGACATTCCGTCGGGCTGGGACGTCGAGCAAGGCACCATCCAATTTGAACGCTCGTTTGCTCACATGGCGTAGGCAACGTCTCGGGCCGCGGCTTGATGCCTTCCGTGCTCATATCCCTCACAGCACCCAAGCTCTGCGCGCAGCTTCTGTCGCCTTCCAACACAACCCACTACGTTGGCGGCCGCTTCGTGCCACGGTATGTACTTGCTTTGTGCCTAGGACTGAGTCTTCTCTCCACCAGAGCTCTTGCCGAAAAGTCCTGCTCTCGATGCCAAAGTACGTTGGTGCCCAGCAGTTTGCCTGCTGGCAGCCACAAGTCCAGGATGTTGAGCCTAGTACCGTTGCGCGTGCATGAGAAACCAGGTCACAATCGTCGTTGGCGTATCGTTCTAGATGTGGCTTCCTGTACACGTCTCCGAGAGTCGTCATAGAATTCACAGATTATGCAGAGACATTGCTACGCGTTGAGTGGGTCTTTCTTGAGGTTGTACGCGATTTGTGGCGCGTAGTTCCAGAAGAGCACGTTGGCATTCTTGTAAAACAGGTTGCCCAAGTAGTTGGTGCCGGTGATGCACCACACTACAAAACAAGTGCGACTCGATACCTCCGACACAAGAAAAACTACGTACTCGGGTGCTCGAGCGCAAAGCCGAATTGGAGGTTGACCTCGACGTACCCCGTCATAATGTGGAACGGGTTGTACAAGTACAGCGGAACACGGAAGAGACCGCGCTTCGCTGTCGTGCTGCGCACGAGCTTGTTCTCGACGTTGTGGATCGAGTTGGTCAAGTTGACAATCGACATGACTTGGATGCCGACGACAACGTCGTCCTTCGCTGCCGGCAACGGATAGTTGGCCGAGAAGTGGTCGTTGCGAATCTCTTCGCGCGTCGACTTGTCGACGACCGACCATGCGACGCTCTTGACAATCGACGACACAATGGTCGCGTCTAAAGCAGACAATGTGTCTTCCATATGCACACTGCGGCAAAGGTAGTACCTGACATGGGCATCGCCTCGGTCCACTGGTTTGTGAACGTTTCCTTGAGCGGGAAGAGGAACGGGTTCACAACAAAGACGTATTTGAGGATCGGCACAACAAGGCACACGCACGGAAAGACCAGTGCAAGCTTGCCAACACCTTGGCGGTGCACTTGACCGAGCACGACGACGACAATGTCGTTCCAGGACCAATGGCCGAGGCGTCGGTGGTCCTTGAGCACTGCCATGTTGCGGCAGAAGTGGCGAATGTTGCACGTGATAACACTGTAGAGAATGCTGCCCGGGAGCGCAATCACGACCAAGCTCAGAGTGAGGTAGAGAGCCGTGAGCAGCAACAGCGGCAGCGTCAAAAGGAAGAGCACGAACGACGTGAGCTGGAAGCCGCAGTGGCGCGAAATTCGCATCGTCGGCGCCGGTAGACACGCGAGATAGAGTCGAAGGAGCGTGAACACTGGCAGCAGATACACGAGAAAGATAAAGTACAGCGGAACACCCAGCGGCGCAATGAGGATGCAAAGCAAGACGCCGAAGGCATCGGCAAGTGCAAAGCCGGGCACAACGAGGCTGCCGTTCGAGCGTTCGTTGCTCGCGTTGGCCTCCAAGATCCCATCACCGTACAGCGGTGCATTGTTCCAAGGCCCGCCGGCACGGAGCGTCTTGGACGACGGCGATAGCACTTCTCCAGCGACCTGCAGTGTCGTCGTCGTCGACATGGCGTGTATTGCAACTGACGCCAGCACCGAAGCAACGGACGAAGAATAAAAATACCTTTAGATGAAAGCGGTGACCGCGGCTTCTCCGACCTACCGGATCTGTCCAACGTCCAGCAAGGACGAGGAGGGTGCTGTCTTGCGCCGTCGCGCCGTTCCAAATTTTAGTCGAGGACGTCCGTCCCAGAGCTGGACAACCTCGTGGGCCCCAGACGTTACGAGCAAACCACCGGTCGGCGACTGCGCCATGTTAAGCACTCGCACCGCATCGCCAACGTACTTGGCCGAGGGGGCCATGGACGCCGCACTGTATGCGACGACGTCACCACCTTGCGACGCCAAGAGCTCGTCGTGAGCGTGGTGCTGCGGCAGCGACCAGAGAAGGCCCGTGACTTGCGCGCCAGCATCGGTCGACCGCAAAAGGGTGCATGCGTCGACCGAGATGCGCCACTGCTTGATCGTACGATCGCTGCGTCCGCCGCCCGTCGCCAGCACTGCGCTTGGTCCGAGCGGCCGCCAACCGAGTGCTTTGACTGCAGCGCAATGATCGCGAATCGTGTGCAGCGGAAACTGGCGCCGGCTGTTGAAGTCCTTTTTCCAGATGCACACGAGGTGGTCGCTGGCGCCGGATGCCAAATACGTGCCGTCGCTCGACCACTTGAGCCCACACACCTCTCCGAAATGGCCCCGAGCGTCGCTAACGGCCGGCAGCGGTCCATGCGCGTATCGTGGTGGATAATCTTCGAGTCCATCGACCCCGACGTGAGGATGGATTCGACAGAGGCGAGCGACCCGACGCGGAAGTTGTGGCTGCGATATCGAACTTTGACGCGTTCGGCTGCAACGTCCCAGATCTCGGTATGACCTCTGGACGTGCCAATCGCAAGGTCGCCGGGCGGAAGATGCAGGAGCGAGGTTGCCGCGACGGCGTCGCCTCGAAGCGTCGTGAGCTCCGAGATCGAGTTGGTTCGGGTGTTGTAGAGGTACACGGCGGGCCCGAGCGCGACCGCAAAGGTTTCTGCGCTGACCCACGTCAACGCGTTGGTGTAGTAGTCGTCGAGCAGGTTGGGCGCGTCAAGGCTCTTCTTCGGGCGGTAGATGACGGGCGAGGATGGCAGGGACGCGGACGGATCACCTAGCGCGCGCGGGAGCCGCCAGGGGCTCAAGCCCTTGTTGCGCTTCCGGAACTCGATGATCGGGACCGTTGCGACCGAGTACTCGTCGAGGACGGCTTTCCCCAGCGCTGCATGGAACGGCGTCGTATGGCCCGAGAGGTCATCTTCGAGGTTCAAGGCCGAGATCTCCATGTTGGTCGCTCCTCGGTCCGGGATGAAGCGGTCGTAGACCTTGCGCTTCCGCGTCGTCGCCCGTCCTCCTGTCGGTCGCATCGCGCGCCAAGTTCCCAATCCAAACCGAAAACGGCCGACGGTTTTCTCGTTTTCCCGTCTTTTGAAAACAAACCTGTGAAAAAGACGGTATAATTGAGGAAGCCGCTTGAAAAGACTTTGCTTTCAAAGCCATCGATGCGTTTAAATATCCAATGGTACTGTTCAGACCGACGGCGCGGTCGTGACGAGGCGGAACATGGTGTACCGGTTCTGGAAGCTCGACGTGCGAGGGTCCACGGCCGCGATGAGCTGGTCCTCGAACATCGACTGCCCGACAAGGATCGCGTCGATCGTCGACGTCGCAATCTTCATCTCGCGCAGCGCCATGACGAGCTCCGCGCCCATGAAGCAGCCGACGTGGCCTTTGTGGAAGAGCAGTTTGTTCTTCTTCTCGAGCACGTGGTGCAAGACGCGCGTCAAGATCGCCAAACTCTCTTCCGAAATGAGCGCGTGCATCTCGTCCGATGCATCCGAGAACGCATACGTCTCCATGGGCGCATCGACGTCCGCTGCGTTGGCGAGTGCGTCGTTCTCGAGCGACAAGGCCGCGTTGTCGTCGTGGAACTCGAGCGCTTTCGAGAAGCGGTAGAACGCGTCCGACTTGTTGAGGATCGTCGCCGCCGGGCCATGCACGTCTTCAATGTACCCGAGCTTAAGGAGCACGTTGCCGAGCAAGATGCTCTCGTTTTCGTCGATCGCAAAGCCATAAAACATGAGCGCGCCGACCGCGTCCGAGCCGAGGAAGCAGTCCTTGATGGGCTTGAGCTTCTGGAAGCGGCGTTTGACCTCGATGATCTTGCGCAGAAAGCGGCCGATCGCCTTGTAAAACTCTTGCGGAAGGCCGTTGTGGAACGCGACCTTGATGTCCTGCATGCGCATCGCACGCGCCTCCTTGAATGGAGAGAGCGAGTCGAGGTCCAGCGATGTCGGCAGCTTGTTGTACGGAAACGGGAGCGACGCCTTGGCCTTGACGATGCCACCGCGATCGGATGAGACGGCGTCGCTGCCATCGTCCGAGTCGAAATCCGACTTGCCGCTGCCACGGCTCATGACAAGCGACGGCGACGACGAGAAGCTGCTGCCGTTTGAAGTCGTGCTCGACGTCGAGCTCGTGCGCGAGAGAGGTGGCCGCGGAAGCCCATGCTGCTCGAAGGACGAGGTGCGGGACATGGTCGGGCGGCTGCGCGTCTTGGGCAGCGACGACCGAGACGACGACGACGAAGGGCGCGGCGGCGGGTAGTGCGGGTTCTCTTCAAACGACTCGCGAATCGCCGAGATCTTGGCGACGGCGTTGTTGATCGTGCTCATGAGCGAGTCCATATCCATGGCCGACATTGTGTTGCGGCGGGCGGCGGCGCTGGCGTCGAAGGAGACACGGCGCGTCAAATTCGGTTCAGACTTGCCGTGGGGTCGCTCGGCCATGTGAGCAGGAGGACGGGGATCGGTCTGTCGCCTGCGTGGCAGAGTCGACGACCAAAAGTATACAAATCCCAAGCTTCGCCATGTTGCACTTAAAAAAAGTCTTCGCCCGTGTTACACACCGAATCTGACTGCCCGGTAGCGTGACACATAATTCTACGCCCAGAGGACGCTGCTCGGCCGGCAAGAGTCGGCGTACTACCGGTACTCGTTAGCTGTTCTCGTTTGTAGCTGGCCTTGTCCACGACGCGGTAGCCTGGTCCGTTGCATCAGCCTCGATATAGATGCGCGCAGCGTGGCCGGCGACGGATGATCGCAAATGGTCATGTGATAAAGGCCAGAAAGATACACTGCCATGATACTCCTACTGCCCTGGGTGTCACGAGACGCGCCAAAATCGCGGCCAACCTTCCTGTTCCTCTGTCTCTGCACCCATGCGTACGTGTGGTCGTAAGCATGCTTCGATCGCATGTCCATGCACCCGAATGAGGCTTAAGACGACCATATCCACAGCGACGTCCTACAGCCGTGGGTGGCGGGCGCATTGTTTGAGTGGCTCGGACGGCGCGCAGCTGCGGGCAGGAAGATCGCAACTTTCATGGACGCAGCGGTCCAGTGACCGGAATAAATCATGAAACGGACCAATCAGCGACACCACGACGCTATCGAAGGTCCGTGGCTCCAAATATAAACACCGAGAGACATCTCACATACAAAGGCCAAGGTGTATCATCAATTTCAGAATAAAAAGACGTCGGCGACCGCGATCCGGCCAACTGGATACGGAATGGACGCGACAGCGATGGAAGCGGCGCGGCTGGCGACGGCCGCCAAGGACCGCTGGCTCAACAAGGACGAGATCGCGTTCCTCCTGCTCCATGCCAAGGCCTGCCAGGCAGCGATTCCCGTCTACCTGAGCCCGCAGCAGCAGCCGCCAAGTACGACGCATGCGACCGATACCCGCCATGCCACATCACGTGCTAAATGTGCTGTAGGCGGATCCCTCTTCTTCTGCGCTGCCACCATGGACTACAGGAAGGATGGATGGACGTGGCAGAAGAAGAAAGGAAGCGAGACCATGGTCCGAGAAGACCGCGCCAAGCTCGTCGTCAACCGCGAGCTCGTTGTCCTCGGTGCGTACGCGCACTCGGCCGACGCCGCGTCGTTCCATCGACGCAGCTACGTGCTGCGCGTCGGTGACCCGCGCTACATGCTCGTGCATTACCTCGATGACGCCAAAAGCAAGCCACGCAGTCCGAAGCTCGCGCCAACACCGCCCCTCGACGACGATTGCAGCACGACCTTTATGGAGGACGTCGACCTTCTCCGAGACATGGACCTGTCAAGCGACCCCCATGCAATGCAAGATGTGTACGATAATTTCGCGTCGTTCGCATCGTCGTCGCCCAAGGTCGCTCACTCTTGCATCACGATGGCTCATGCAACGTCGGACTAGATGCTGCCAATCCCTGCGCTCTCCGTTCTACCCGAAACCCAGGCGCCGCTCCAAATCACCGACTACTCGCCCAACTGGGACTTTACTTCGGGCGGCGCCAAGCTCCTCATCTGCACCTCCGAGACGCTGCCACCAGCGACGCCCTTCTTCGTGCAATTCGGGGCCATCGCGACCGTCGTTGCCGAAAGCATTGCACCCACGGTGCTTCGCTGCACAGGTAAACAGACTACCTACTCGATAAGACGCCAGTTGACGAGTGGGTAGCGCCCATGACCCTCGAGGGCGGCCGCGTCCCGCTCACGATCGTCACGTACCGCAACGGCACGGTCGTGCCCATGTCGAGTCCGCGCGAGTTCGAGTACCGGGGTAGCACCTTTACGCAGGCGCTCCAGGACACAGACATGCTAAGCGACGACACAAACGAGACCAAGTCGACGCTCAGTGAGCCGCACAGCATGAAGCGCGCGCGGTCTGCGGTTGACGACGCGGACGTGATGAGCGCATACTCGGACACGACGCGATCCGTGAGCAGTCCTCCGGCCGCCTGTACGCACCAGCCATTCGCCCTCGACCAGTATGACCGTACGCCACGTTTCCTTTGCTTCCTCGCCCGTAGACTTAACCCTCTTGGTAGCGCATGAGCGGCAGTACAAGATTCGCGTCGTCGAGCGCCTCTCCGAGTTTCGGCGCGCGATATCGTCCAAGCCGACGCTGCAGCCGACGGGTACGTCCAACTACATACGGTCTTTGGCCTCACGCGTCAATGGGTGCGTGCATAGCTCACGTTCTCGAGGTACCATGCGTGCGGTCAACCCTCGACGTTTGAGCAGCCGTGTTGGGCGTAGGAATCCTCGCCCGTGCTCCTCGATGACTCGGCAGTTGCAGCACTTAGTGATAAAGAACTCGGGTCGCTCTCCGACACGCTCATCGAAGACGTCGTGAAGCAGCTCGTTGCCGTCGCCGGCACGTCCGCAGACCTCCTCGAGGAGGTACATTTTCTATACCTTTGTCGTTGTTGAATCTTGTGGCTCCAGCTCAATTCGCTCGATGATGCTGGACTGAGTCTGCTTCACTACGTGAGTTTTTACAACTGCGCGCCGCTGGTCCCGCTCTTGCTTGCCCACGGTGCGCTCGTGGACCAACGCAGCGTGCAAGGCCAGACGGCGCTTCATCTCGCGGCCGGTTGCGGCCACCTCGGCGTCGTCAAGGTGCTTCTCGCGCACAACGCGGACGTGACGATGTTTGACTTTGACTGCCTCACGCCCGCCGACCGGTACATTCGCTCCCGCGTACATACTACATGCGCAGAAACGTGTGTTTAGGGCCGAGAACTGCGGCCACGACGACGTCGCGGCGTACCTCCACAGCATTCTCGAGCCGTCGCCGCCGAAAGCGACATCGAACCTCTCGTTTTCAGAACTCAAGTCGTTTGGGCTCTTTCACGACCAAGACTCGAGCGACCAGCACAATCGAAAGCTGCTCCTCGGCGCCTTCTCGACCATGAGTCTCCACGGTAGAGTCTCGGGTAATAAGCTGCGAGGTCCGATGCTCTTGTATAGACAAATGTGCGCTGTCGCTGGGCACGAAGCGCCGTAGCAACAGTCTCGGCGACTACGACGAGCATGACTCGGATCACGACAACATGGAGGTCAGCAGCGTCATGGACGACTCGGATGTGACGAAGCTGGAGGCGGCCATGCAGCTCATGGGCCCCGACGGTTGAACGCAGCTTCTAGACGTCTCTCAACATGAAGTAGAGCTGGCGCTGCTCGAGGAAGAGGCGCGTGTGATCCAAACCAACGTACGCGCATGGCTCTTGCGGCGCAGCTACAAACACATGCGCGAGACGACGCAAAAGCTGCAAGAAGGTACTAGTATTCCGGTCACGATGAAGTGGTCACGACAAGGGTCGAATGCATCAATCATGCCTAGTCGCGAAAGAGAGCCTCGCCAAGCAAAAGATGGAGCGGGCGGCCGTGACCGTGCAAGCCGCGACGCGGAGCATGCTCGTGCGCAAGAGCTACCTCCAGCAGCGCAACACAGCGATCAAAGTCCAGGCCGGTGCGCGCCTCGCCCTTGAAACCGAGTCTCACAAACTGGTATGTAGCGGCGCGGGGCATCCTCTGCCGCAAGAACTTTGCCAACATGAAGAAGAGCGCGCTCGCATCGCTCGTGATTCAAAAGAACGTGCGCGAGTGGCTCGCCAAGCCCGAGCCCAAGAGCGGATGAGGCTGGAGCGTCCGCCCGTCCTGTACCATATCGTAGTGTCGTCTATCTATTAGTAGTATGTTATAAATCGGAAGCCAGCAATCCGTTCACGTCATGATCGTTGCTCGACTTGATTTAGTCGTCGCGGAAGCGCTTGAAGCCCGGGATCGGCGGCGTCCACGTCGGGAAGCCGCGGGTCATGGGCACGAGCGAAAAGTCCTCGACAAGCGCCTCTGCTCTCAACTCGGGCGTCGGGAGCGCGTTGATGGCTTCCCACTTCAAGTTGATCTTGAGCTGGAGGTCCTTCATGAGCGCGTTGTGGCGGATCGACGTCATCGAGTTGTACTTGCGGCCAATCTCAAAGTGCTCCTGCTTCTCGGCCTCGGTCCACTCCGGCCTGTGTAGTGCATGATGAGCATGCGAATGGCATATCGAATGGATTGACGTACGCCGGGATGTCGCGGCCCTTGAGCGCACGGAGCATGACGTCGTACTTGCCCGAGTCGGTGCCCTTGTCGTTCTTCTTGGCCGTGGCCTTGAATTTGGCCGACTTGGCGCCACGCTTCTCCGTGGCGGCGGCGCCCTTCTTGGTCGCGAAGGTCCGCGCTTGCATCACACACCGGCGCATCATGCTGCTCCTGCTGGTCTTCCCGAGTCTTTTCGCCACTGGCCAACCAACCCGTCGTGCGCGCCGTATCCGTATCACGATTATCCGGATTCAGAACCCAAGCTCCCTTAAATAGTGTGTATTTGAGTGATCCAACTTGGATCACTCAAATGCCTGTGTTGGATCATCCAACACAACGATTGCTTGCTCACCAAACGGCAGGAGCAAGAAGAGCAAGGTCAAAGATCGCTGCTCCATCTTGCTCGTAGGTGGGTCTCGCAGATATCTTCGTGGCTCTGACAAGCGGTCTGCACGTAACCGAAACGCGCAATGCTGGTTACAGACAGAGTGTGCGCGTTTGAAACGAACATTGTATTCAAGCCCAGGTTTTGGACGCAAAACGAGCTTACATAATGTTAGTACAATAGGGCCACGTTGAGGCGAAGACGGTAGCTGATCGCAGCTCGCACTATTCGTCGTTTGAGGGGTCTTTAAACAGCAAAACTCGTGCGACGAGCCAGTTGGGACCCCACACGCACGGCCATTAAGTGTGACCTTCATTTGATGCAGTTGAAGAAAGTTAGAATTGACAACGAGTCCTGCATCCCTAATAGCATCTCATTGCCTTCGCCATTGCCGATCTCCAATGTCGTCGTTCGAATCATACACTATTCTCATCTTACACTATTATAGTGAAATACGTTGATGATTGGCTCGCTTGAATTACACTGCAATGATGATGCTCCAGCGACTCTCGGCGCGGTCGGCGCTGCTGCTGCAGCCTCGTAGCCCGCGCTTCCACACGTTAGGCCTCGACGAGAGCCTCGTTTCGGCCCTCGCCACCCAAGGCATTGCGACGCCCAGCCAAGTCCAGCGTGAGGTAGACCACCTCTCCTTCCTCCGCTTCGCAGACCAGCGCGCCGTCCACGTAGGCGGTGCCCATGGTGCTCGACCCAGCGCGTCCTGACGTGGTCATTGGCGCGGAAACGGGCAGCGGTAAGACGCTAACGTACGTGCTGCCGCTGCTGCAGCGCCTTCGGGCGTATCCGCACCCGATGACGGCGATTCGCAAGCCGATCGCGGTCATCATGGTGCCCAACCAAGAGCTCGTCAAGCAGATCGAGCGCGTCGTGCAGAGCTTGGACCCGGAGGTGCCGCTTGCGTGCTTGACAAAGACGCATGCGATTCCGCGCCGTACGCCCGTGCTTGTCGGCACGCCCAAGGCCATCTTGCAGGTACGACGTTGCGGATGAAAACAGCCAATGGACTCACAACATGAATCTAGCACGCATCGGCCAAGGACTTGGTCTCGGTAGAAATGATTGTCGTTGATGAAGCCGATATGCTTCTCGGCGGTGGCTTTGAGCGCGATACGAAGCAAGTGCTTGGCGTCATCCGCAACCAAGCACTCGTGGACCCGGCCTCGAACGAGTACATTCCCGGATTCCACCGCGATAACGATAGCACCGAGCCCGTGGGGCTGGCGTCGTACCCGCGCCAGACGATTTTCGCTGCGATATCCTTCCCACGCCACTTGCATGTGTATCCAGATGATGACTCAACAGACCTTACTACAGACGACGACGATCTCTGTACGCCACAATCCCAACCTATGGCAAGCTGGCCGTCAGCGAGTACCTCAAGCGCAAGTTCCCAGACGCCGTCTACGCCATCACCGACGTATGCTTCGTTTGATATCATTACCGAGGGCATTGAGCTCTAACGCTCAACGTAGCAATTCCACCGGACGCTTTCGACACTGGACCAGACGTTCCTGCACCTCAAGACAAGCGACCGCGCCGAGCGGGAGCAGCGTCTTTTGGAGGTTCCTCGCGACGCACGCAGCGAAGACATCTCACGTCGACTAGATTCTGGCCGCCGACAACGAGTCCAGTGGCAGCGTACTCATCTTTGTCGACTCGGTCGCGAGTGCAAAGGCTCTCGAAGAGTTTCTTCTCGCGAGCAACATTCCCTGCCGCGCACTGCACAAGGTACACTCGTTGGGCAACTTTTTTGGCTCAAAAGCACGCTAGGAAGTGGCTCGGGACGAGCGCTCCGATGTCTTGGCCGCCATGACGACGGGGCGCCAGGTCGTCGTTGCCACCGACATTGCTGCCCGCGGCCTTGACACGCGCGATGTACTTTTTACTGAGATTCTATCGGGTGCGATGATGGCGCCTAGGTCGACCACGTGATTCAGTTTGAGTTTGCGACCAATGTCGTGACGCATATCCACCGTATTGGCCGCACGGCGCGCGGTGGTGCGACTGGCAAAGGTAGCGCGACCTCGGTATTGAGTTTGAGAAGACTGTATTTCACTAGTCACCAACTTTATTGGGCGCGAAAACGAGCTCGTGTACAAGGAAATCAAGGCCGCCGGCGCTGATGGCGCACTCACCAAGGGTTTTAGCCGTCGCCGGAGTCTTCGCAAGAAGTTTAAGAAGGCCACCAACGACCAAGCAATCTAAATTTCCAACGCTCGTCAATAGACAATCTGTTTAAACGCAATCTCGGCTGTTCAAAAGCAAGCTACAGAATGGAATTCGCTGCGAAACAACGTCGTCTCCATGCGAATATGATTTTCTATGCAAATCATAAGCTACGACTCGTTCTTATTGACGGCGACACCCTACTGCGTTGGCTTCTTGTCGGCGGGGAACGCTGACAGCGTCTTGTAGTCCCACGGCGCGCGCTTGGGCGGGAACTTGCCGCTGCGCATGTCGTTAAAGCACTCGCGAATCTGAGCTTGTGTGTTCATGACGATCGGGCCGTGCCACGCAATGGGCTCCTTGATCTTCTTGCCCGCAAAAAGCATCGCCGAGACGGCCTTGGAGCGCGCCGTGAGCTCGAACGTCCGCTTGGCATCGTCGGTCGCGTCGAGGAGCGCGACTTGGTTGATCCGGACGGGCGCCGTGTTAAGG